CTGCATCGGGCTCTCTGCTCGGCGGGAAGCCTGCTTCTCCCTCTCCCACTCCCCCTGCTTGTGTTCCCTCTCTTGCTGTGTCTCTCTCTGTCAAATGAATAAATAAAATCTTAAAAAAAAAAAAGAATAGGGCCTCGCAGTGACTCATTCACACTGTATTCAGGAGGATATGCCACCTCTTCTTGTGTCCTGCCTCGTAAATGTGGTTGCCTTGAATGTATTTGCAGTTAGAAATATTGGAGAAAGCAGAGTGAGTACTGATATTCTGCTGCAGTCTGAAGTCCCAGAGAAGACAGCTAGAGGTGACCTACTAAGGTTTGAAGGAAGGCTAGGCTCAGACTCAGTCAAGCAGCCGGGCTCAGTGCTCCTGGCTGCTCCTCAGCCTCCTTACTGAGCTCACTCCCTTAGCTGTTAGCCTCTTTGTTATGTGGCAAGTAAGGTGTGGCTCTTTTTCCGTGTTTTCCGCGTTTTGCTTTCTCTGCATTGTAGTCTTTTCCTGTAATTAGCGTGGTTAAAAGGAAAATGTAAACTTAAACATGGTTTTAAAAAAAATAGCCTGCTGGACTTTTGAGCTGGATTTAAATCGGAGCTGTTATTTAAATTGATTTCTGACCTTTGATAAGTCTGAGACTGTTTCAACAGTAAAATGGTGATAATAATACTTATTTGTAGAATTATCTTGAGCATTAGGGATATAAAATGCCATCCTCATAAAATAACACTGAGAATCATTAACTATTTGCTTTTACTGGATCTGCGTACATATGAAAACAGCAGGACGCCTCTGTTTTTTGAACTCCATTGAAGTTCAGGTGCCCAGAGTTGTATGGGGCAGAAGTTAGACACTGGAAGGGTTATATGCTTGTAGCACATTTCTGCCTCTTGAATTGTTAAGGGTGTTACACAGCCTTCGAAGTGAAAAAAGTCTCAAGGGTAAGTTGGGCCAGTGGTATCTTTAAGGAAGATGGGGATCCCAGGGGAGCGAAGAGATCTCAAAAGTGGCTAGTGTGTCCTTGCATCGTGCATGTGGTAGAGTTGCTTTTTGATTTGTGGTCACAGACATTTTCTACAAGGCATGTCATTTCTGGGCTTTTCAATTTCGGTCTGGCTCTGAAACCTTTCATCCAAACATGGCACCCCATTTCCAATTTCTTCTTTATGCCAGACTGGCCTATCTGCAGATCTTTTTTTCCTTTAGCTCCACCTTAGTGAATCAACCGTTTATATCCCTTTACCCATCTTTTCTTTTATAAGCCCTGGACTCACAGCAAATTCCATGTGGCCTGAGTGTCTAAAGAGTAGCAAAGAATTGAAATTCATGTTTGGATTCCCCTCTGTGGAAATCCCCCCTCTTCCTGTGTTGCCAGTCCCTTCTAATCCGGATGCCCACCATACTAATAGTTTGTTAAAAATTTAAAGCCTAGCAGAAGTTCTTCCCCAACCTGTTGGGCTTGCCAAAGAAATCCCAGACATCTGTCCTCAAGAAGTATATAGTTTAGTGAGGATTAGGCAGCACTGGGGTTCCCTAAGGTTTTCCCTGGACATGGTTTTTTCCCTGGACCCCCTCTTCACTGGCCATGATTGCTTGATGAGCCCTTAAACCTCAACGTGTTTGTTTGCAAAAAAGCTTTATCTTTCGTAACTACTTGTCTTTAGAAACCTGCCTGTCTAGAAGAGGGACCTCTGAGTATTGTTTCCTCCAAACAAATAGCATCCAACGCTTCTGCAAACCTTTTTGGCAGGAGCATAGAATCCATAATTCCGGGATTAAGAGCTAGCATTGTGGCTTGGGGTTTGGGGAGTTTTAGCTAGACCTACCGAGGACCCAGCAGAGTAAGTTGGATAGTAAATCATTAGGGGTTTGTTTTTCCAGCAGACGAGGTGATTGAGGGTTATGTCTTGTTTTAAGGAGGCAATTCTGCTTATTAAGACATTATATTAAAGTGAGCATCCTTGAATATCTTAGTTTTTCTTTCATCTTTTTCAATTAAACCAGTATTTAATACCAGTTACAATCCAGTCATTGGTCTAGATCTTTATACTCATGTTGTTTTGATTTTTAAGCTAATTATTTTTTAGAATTTGGTAATGCATGTACATTATACATTAGGTTATACACTGAAAAGTAACTCTTCCTTCAGCCCCTTCTTGCCTCAGCCCTGGATCCTTCTCAAACTCTGTACCAGTTTCTTACGTATTCTCCCAGAGATAGTCCATGCATATGCAACCAGCTATGTGTAAAATATTCTTTTTCTCACAAATAGTGCTGGCAAGCTATGAGAGACTTACTTTGGTGGCCCTCCCAATGAACTACGCCTCCTTGTATTTAAGCCCTTCTGTAATTCCCTCCCATATTGGCTGAGCTTGGCCATGTGACTGGCTTTGGCCAATGGTGAATTAGTGTGATGCAAGTAGAGACTTGGTAAGTGCTTGCACACTGGGCCTTGTTCTCTGGGAATGCTCACTATTGTGACACTGCTGCTCAGAATCCAGAAACCAGCAACTGTGAGGTACCCAGCCTAGCCATGTGGCTTCATGGAGGAGAACTGAGGTCCCTGCCCATGGCAACCAGACAATAGCCAGCCTCAACTTGCCGGCCATGTGAGGGATAGACCATCTTCTTGGAAGTAGAACCTCCATCCCCATTGACACCACTCCAGAGGATGCGCTGAGGAGCAGAGACAAGCTTTCCCTGCTGAGCCCTGCCCACATTGAAACAATGTGAGCTGTCATTCTGAGGCACCAGATTTGGTTTGTCTTGCAGCAACAGATAACTGAAACACTGTATTCACTATGTATTCTGTGACCTGCTTTTTTTCCACTGAATGATATATTTGATAATCCACCTATTTCAGTATATACAGAGTTACCTCATTCCTTTTTTAAGAGCTGGTTACTATTCCTTTGTATAGCTGTGTAGTAATTGAATTAATCAACCCTTATTGATGGATATTTAATGTTTCCAGTTCCTTGCAGTCTTTAATATCTTCGCTGCATGCTTGCTTTTATACATGAACAAATATATTTATTGAGTAAATTCTTAGAGATGGAGTTGCTGGGTCAAAGAATATTTGGCTTCGTCATTTTCATGTGCATTGCCAAGTTGCCCTCATGAAAGGTTACATCCCCACCTCTAGGGCATGAGCTTACTGTGCTGGTCCCAGCGGTACTGCAATGCTGTTGAAATGTCACATTTCTGCCTTGCTATTGTTTTTGCATATATTGAAAAGGCATTTGCATTTCCTTTTTGATGGACTGCCTTTTTTCTGTTGGATTGTTGGCCTTTTTCTTCTTAGAAGGAGCTCTTTGTATTTTAAGGAAATTACCTCTTAATACGAAGCAAATCTTTTCTCCCCCTCCGTTTCTCATTTATCTTTTTCCTTGGTTAGAGCAGTGTTTTCTCCTAATTGTGGTTAGATTTATCAGTCTTCTATGGCTTTTGGATTTTCTTGTTTTTCTGTTTCTTTTTTCATATTTAGACTTTCCCCTGCCTGAGATTATAATGGGTATTTTCCTGTGTTTTCTTGTATTATTACCGTTTTGCTTTTTACATCTTCATCTCTGAGCTACCTGAAATATCTCTTGATAAATAGGTTCCAAATTCTATTTTTCCCAGTTGTCCATTAAAACTTGTGCCATGTCATCCTTATCATGTACTGCATTTCCATATTTATACCACAGGTAATCTCAGTATATTTATTTAATGCAATAAACTCTTGAGTTGCTATCCCATAAATTACTTATTTTCTTTTTTCTCTACTATTTAGAAAATACTATAGTGAATATTTTTTAAAAACAAGTCTTTATAATTATTAATCCCAGACTAGTTTAGGATTTCCTTTGTGGGTGTACAAATGAACGTTTATAGTCTGCTTTGAAAATTATTTAAACTTTCATTTTGCTAAGTTGCTCAAAAGCTGAAGTTGGAAAGATAGGTGTTTTATGCACAGGGATACGGAGAAGATCAATCCATGTAATTGAGATTCATCTGGAGATATATAGGTAAGATTGTGAAGGCACAGAGAGTGACATGCTTTTTGATCATGTACCATACAGAAGGGCCTGTTCCTGAATTTGAGAAGCATATAATCGTACTGGTATAAAAACTATCTCCGATCAGGAGTATGGGGAGGCTGGGACCCTGCGAAAAAAGGAAGATTTGGTTTTGCTAATAGAATGGCTGAAGTCAGGTCATTATGGGAAGAAAGAAGTCAGGAAATTATGCTTGTGCTCTGGTACATTAAGAAAATGCGTCCATTTAATTCAGGGAACCCTTGTGATTTATAGGTAACGACTATAACTGTCCCAGACCCCCAAGGGGACAGTGCCACTCAGTGGAGGCAAAACTGAGAAGTTCCTGCAGCCTTCCCCGTCCTGCGCCTCTAGGTCCAGCCACTCTTGCTCATTTCCCCTGGCTCACGGAGCATACTTCCAGACCTTTTATCACAGGCCTGTGGTCTGACCCCACAGGGCCTGGGAGGTCTGCATTTGGAACACGTGCCCACGTGGTGGTTAAATTTAACCCCTGCTAAGAGAATGAGATGGACACCCCTGGAAAGAGAGACAGAATTAAGGTGCTGCCCAATCTACATATGTGTGTTGCAGCAGGATCCAAGCTCTGCAGGGAGATTTCAGAAATCAGCCCCAGGTGGGCCTGCCACGCTCGTTTGTGCCCGTGAGTGGTATCACACTCTCTTCATTCCCTAGAGAAACCTGCACATCTTCTAGGTAAGAAAACACATTTTGCCAAGGTGGACAGTTGATGTCTAGGTTCAGAGTCACAGAACGTTCGAGCTAAAAGAAACCCATCAGAACCATTTCATTTGGTCAGTCATGTTTTTATAGCTTTCTTTCCCTGCATTTTATGATCTTAAACTCTCGGGCTGGTTTGACACCCATGGCATTGTTTTCCATTTTCTCAGTGCCAGACAAGCTGGGATATTTCAGCAAATATTTAGTTTCAAGGATAAAAAAAAATATGCTCTTTCTTTAACCTTTAGATCCTGTCTAAACTTTCTCTGCCCACTCGTGCCGGGGAGCCAGCAATGAAGCAGAGTTTCGCCTTCGACAATGTTGGCTATGAAGGCGGCCTTGATGGCGTGTGCCCCCCTCAGATGACCAGCAGCACCATCAGCATTTCGGGCATGACTTGCCAGTCATGTGTAAAGTCTATCGAGGGCAGGATTTCCAGCTTGAAAGGCGTCGTGAGCATTAAGGTTTCCCTGGAACAAGGCAGCGCGACCGTCAAGTACGTGCCGTCCATCCTGAGCCTGCCACAGATTTGCCGGCACATTGAGGACATGGGCTTTGAGGCCAGCATCACAGAAGGAAAGGCCGCCTCCTGGCCTTCAAGGTCCTCGCCTGGCCTGGAGGCCGTGGTCAAGCTCCAGGTGGAGGGCATGACCTGCCAGTCCTGCGTCAGCTCCATCGAAGGCAGGCTTGGGAAACTGCAAGGGGTAGTAAGGGTCCGAGTGTCCCTCGGCACCCAGGAAGCAGTCATTACCTACCAGCCTTATCTTATCCAGCCCCAGGACCTCAGGGACCATGTCAACGACATGGGCTTTGAAGCTGTCATCAAGAACAGAGTGGCGCCCGTAAGCCTGGGACCGATTGATATTGGGCGGTTACAGAGGACCGACCCAAAGACACCTTCGGCTTCTGATAACCAGAATCTCAATAACTCTGAGCCCTCGGGGCACCACGGGAGCCATATGGCCACCCTGCAACTGAGAGTAGATGGAATGCACTGTAAGTCTTGTGTCCTGAATATTGAAGAAAACATAGGCCAACTCCCCGGGGTTCAAAATATTCAAGTGTCCTTGGAGAACAGAATCGCCCAAGTACAGTACGACCCTTCTCGTCTCACTGCAGGCGCCCTGCAGAGGGCCATTGAAGCTCTTCCACCTGGGAACTTTAAGGTCTCTCTTCCTGATGGAGCAGCAGGGAGTGGGACGGGTAGCAGGTCTTCCAACCGTGTGGCCCCCGGCCCCGCCTCGAGAACCCAGGCGCCGGGCGTGTGCAATACCGTGGTGCTTGTCATTGCTGGCATGACCTGCGCGTCCTGTGTCCAGTCCATCGAAGGCCTGATCTCCCAAAGGGAAGGGGTGCAGCAAATATCAGTCTCTCTGGCTGACGGGACCGGAGTGGTGCTCTATGATCCCTCTGTAATTAACCCAGAAGAACTCCGAGCTGCTGTTGAAGAAATGGGATTTGAGACTTCAGTTCTTTTTGGTATGTAGTTGAGCCATGTGAAGCGCACCCTGGGGTCTCCTCCTTTCCTTGTGCTTACGACATAGTGCCTGCAGGGTGGGGGGGGCCACACTCGCTGCTCAGTTGTCAGCAGGGGTGACCAAATTCTGCAGCTTGTGTCAGGATAGAAGAGAGAATTTTCTGGTGTGTAGATTTTGCCTCTCATGTAGCTGGGACGAAGATGTTAAGTTCTTTGTTTTTTTCTGAAGAGAACTCCGATTCTGTGTTCTTTTTAAAAAAGAGTCCTGTGAGAACATCAGGGCCTTCTCTCTCCAAAGGAACCATCATCATATTCTGAGATTTCTCTGCTGAACAGAACAGTAAAAACAGAACCTTAGTCTCACCAGCTGGAGCCCATTCCGTTGAAAGTGGGAATTAAGGAGGCGATGCAGTGATGGTTGCCCTTGCCCTCCTGATGGCTGTGGGAAGAAGTGCGCCTTTCTGCCATGTGCCGGGACCTGTGCGCGGTGGGCTATCCCGAGAGCCTATGTCATAGTGTGGCAGGAGCCAGCGAGGGCAGGGGGCGGGGACCAGGACGCTGGAGGCAGCTCGGTGTGCGGGGGGAGCCGAGAGGAGCGTCCTGAGCGTGAGGACTCAGGAGGAGGTGAGACAGGCTGGACCTCAGGTGGGCCACTCCGAATGGGCTGCACGTCCCGCTGAGGTTGGACTTGACTGTAAAGGTGAGGGGTGTCAGCGGTGGGTTTTAATCGAGAGGCAGCGCCCGTGAGCTCACACCTGAGCAGGCCAGTCGGTGTCGGTGCAGTGTGGATTGGGGCACCGAGACCGCATGGGAGGCTGGATGAGAGATGATGTGGGGCCGGAGAGCAAGAGACGGATTAGAACGACATCCAGGAGGTTGCATCCAGGAAGCTAGGTCCAGATGAGGGGTGTGATGGGACAGGCCGTGGAGGAAAGGGAGAGCCTGCGGCCAGCGCGAGCCGCGTAGATGCTGGAGGACAGCAGAGTGTTGGGTTGAATTCCGGGAGAGTGGGGCTGGAAATGCAGGTTTGGGTGGTGGGAGCCGTGGGAGATGACAGAAGGCCGGGGAAAGTGAGTGTGACCCGGGACGGGCAGAGGGAAGAATGTGACGGCACTGGTGTGGAAGGAAGGGTGTCTAGAGAAGATTTTCACAGATGAGGACGGCACCCTGGAAGTAAAAGAAGCTGTTTCAAGGAGGGGGCTTATGGGGTCTCAGGCTCCATGTAACTAGGAGGAGGAGGCTCGGGCGAGGGGGTGCCCAGCTGCATGGTTGGGGGGGGTGGGCGCAGCCCTCCAGGAGCTTAGCCGAGGAGGGATGGAGAAGGTGATAGATACGTAGGGGGTTTGCAGAGGCTGAAGGTGAGGAGGGAGAGCTGGACATGCGAGGGACAACTGTGTGGGCAGCAGTGTTTTCACGGCTTTGCTCCCAGGATACAGGCCCTGTGCGGCCGTGTGAGTTGCCGGCCGGGTCAGGCCGGTAGAGTGCCGTCAGTGCAGCCAGCCTGGCTCCAAGAAGGGCTTGTGGGCGAAGACCCGTGGCCACGCTCAGGGCCAGCTGGACTTGGGTTTCCCACGTCCACTTCGCGGTGGCCGCCAAGATAAAGTGTGTCTCCTTGAAAAGTTCGCTCTGTCTTGGTGCTGCCCTGCACACACATCCTTAAAGGGAGCGGGTAAGTCATGTGCAATGACTTGGCCCCATTCTGTACTTTGTCTTTTGTACCAAGTTTCAGGAAGGAGTTTTTAAACAAAAATCAATGAGGAAAACACAATGGAACAGTAAATCCTGTACTTAAAAGGTAGGAAATGTAATACAGAGTCATCATCTGCTATATCTGTGTGCGGTTTCAAGTCTTCCAACCGTAGAATCGGGTTGTTGGCAGGAAGAAGAAGTTTGCATTGAACTGCATAATCCAGAATAATTGGATCTGACTAAGTAAGTGTAGAAAGAAAAGAGCAGTGCTTTTTATTGGCCAGAATTATGAGAATTATGTTTTTAGCCCAAGAGGTATTTATTGTACTAGATTTAGCAAATATAGGACACCTAGTTGGATTTGAATTTCAGATAAGCAGTGAATACTGTTTCAGTTTAAGTGTGTCCCATGCAATATTTGAGACAGACTTATACTAAGAAGTTATTTGTTGTTTATCTGAAACTCAAATTTGGCTGGGCATTTTGTATTTCACCTGGCCGTCTTTAAAATTTAGGAGAAACCATAGTGTGCTGGTGACTATCTTCATAACCACTTAAATGCTAAAAAGGCATTATTTGTATTTGACTGGTCATTCTGGAACGATCAGGAAGAGGAGCTCCTTGAACACAGTCTTCAAACCGTGTTGTTTTCTCCCTGGACTCAGCAGCACCTAGTGCATAGTAGGTGTTTGTGGGGGGAGTGAAAGAGAAAGAAAAGGCTGTGACAGGTGGGCTCATGGGGTGGCTCAGTGGCAGGCTTGAATCTGGGGAACTACTCAGAGATGGTAGGGAGAGCTGAATCACCAGCCACACAGGGAATGGAAAGGAAACCAAGAGATGACTGAGAGCAGAAGCTGGTGCTCCAGCAGGAGGGTCTGAGGGAAGAGGGCGCCATGAGAGCCTGGGGGCTGAGGTTGCCTGGTATCAGCTGGCGGCCCTGGAGCTACTTAGAGGCTGTGGCCAGGAGCTGGGCTCCCAGTAGATCGAAGGGAAACGCTTCGGGCTTTCCCTCTTTCTGTCCTATCGTTTCCCACTGGTTACCTCCCACATGCCAAATTTAATCAGAAGCCAATTAGCAAGGGAACCTGGGGAAAGTGGTTTTGCAGGATCAGCTCCCTTGACAATAGAGCAGGGAGAGGAAAGGGAACGGTCTGAGAGCACATGGGCCAGTGGCAGGCGTTGAATTTCAGCCAGCTTACTGGACAGCTGAAAATGCATTAAGACCTGGTTTGTGTCTAGAAATCAGCTCTGCGTGTGTGCTCTGGTTTGCGTGGTAAGTACTTTTTGAATGAATAAATGAACAGATGAACGGCTTTATGAATATACCGTGAGGGAAAGTCCTCTGTCATGTGTAACATGTTCCTTCACCCTTGTCAATGGGCGGTGTCCCTCCTGGGGCACTGTTCCCTCATCCGAGCACGTGTTGCGGGGCTTCTGGGTCCCAGACACTGTACTGGCTGCCGTGAGTGCTCAGAGACCGTCCCAGACCTGCCCACATGTGGTTTACACTCTTAACAGGGAAGCACATCAGAGACCCATCATCCAAGGCAGGTTGGAATAAATGTGACAAGGAAAGTGTAGGTAGAGCACTTTGAGATTCAGAAGAGGAGGAGAAAATCCAGTGTCTGGACTTGATGATAGAGGTGAATTTGGAGCTGGGCTTGGGTCAGACTTCAGGGTCTTAGCAGGCAGAAAAGGGCAGGACTGCACCGGACAAGATGGAGGAGACCCAGCACAGGCCCTGGGTGGGAGTCCTCCCGCTCTGTCTTGGGAGCAGTCTGGCTTGGGTGGAACTTGAGTATAAGTAATGGGAGGTAAGGTCAGACAGGCCAGCACCCTGCTGCAAGCCGCCATCCTATGTGTCCTGGATCCTGGAAGAGGCTTGGAAATAGTCTCCCTGCTTCTTGCCTTTCAACTTTACAGTCTGTTTACTACCCAGCATTCACAGTGTTCCTGTTACTCTGTTGAGACTCCGAAACCTTCCCATCTGTGTTGTGAGAGGGAGACATTAGGGTGATCTAGAAACCCCCTCCCTGACTCCCTACCTTTCTAACCCCTTTCCAGTCCTCATAGCAGGCTTGCTCTCACCTCAGGGTCTTGTACTTGCTGTCTCCCGGGTCTAGAGTATGCTTCCCCCAATATCCACATGGTGCATTTCATTTCATATATACTCTTCTGGACTTTTCCCAAGGCATATATAATTTATATTTAGAAATGCATAGATACATTGTATTTGGTAGATTGCAGTATACATGGTGGTTTTGTAATCTCTTTCACCCTGCATCATAAACATGCTTATAGGTCGATCCATATGTCTGCATCACCACGTTCAGCGGCTGCATGGTGTTCTGTTGTATGGATGCACCATAACTCAGTCAGTTTCCGATTGGACTGTTCTCATCTACTTTGTGTGCATATGATTGTAAATAATACTGATGGCGGTCTTTGAGGCTACGTTTTATGCACATACTTAGTTATTTCCTTATGGTAAATACCTGAAAGCGTTAATTATTGGGTCACAGAATATAAACTTTATTTCATTCCATTACAAATATTTACTGTGCCTCTACTAAGTGCCAGGCAGTTAAGAGGTACTGTTTTTGATAATATTGTCAAGTAGACTTCCAGAAAGCCAAATCGATTTATATGCCCACCCATAGTCTTAGCGTAGATGGATGAAGAAAAAGGACTTGTTTGGGTTTTGTTAGTTTATTTCAGCTTTCTTTAACAATCTCCAGAAGCTCAGAATTTAGGTGAGTTAAATTCCAATGTGGGAGAATGGCAATGTGTAAGTTGTAGGTTAGTAAGGGAGTACAAAATTCTCTGTAATAGTACAAATATTGTTAAAATTGTTGACCACAATATTTGGATAGAAAGGCAGGTGAATCCAGAAAACTGGTGTTGGAGTGGGAAAATAGGGCGGGGTTGAACAGGTGCAGGGGGGTTGGACAGGTACGGTGCAGATGGATGGGTGTAGGAGATAGAATGTTGAGAGGTTGTGGCCACAAAACAGCTTTCGTGAATTTGAGAACCAAAGGGCAGAGTCATTTTGAGCAATGACCAAGTCCAGGAGAGTACACCTGTGCTGGTGGGTGAGGTGTGGTCCCTGCATCAAGAAGGTAGAGAGGTCCTGTGAGGCCAGAGTGATGGAGGGTTTTCACTGAAGGTGCTAAAAGGGTCAGTCAACTGGACCCCTAGAATGAGTGGAAGTAGTTTTTAAGCCGCCTTTCAGAAAATGAGCAAAACATCCCAGGATGTGAGATTTATTTAGAAAAACTTGAAAGTCATGGCCTATTCTCAGTACACGTTAATGCCAACTTCTGTCTTCTGCAGCTTGGATTTTCAAATAATGAGAGTTCATTGTTAAATGATATAATTATCTTTTGTATATACTCTTTTTTTTTTCTTTTATATATACTCTTAAAAGTACTTTCTGCCATCAAAATTGTGTGACTTTCTGGAGTGCTGGAAACGTCCTAGATCTTGATCTGGGTGATTAGTTACGGATGTAGGTATGTATGTGGTGAGCAGAAAAATGGCCCCCGTTGATGTCTGCACTCTCATCCCCAGAACTCAGTGGGGGAGAGGATGATCTTTTCAGTTTATGGAGCTGGATCAACTGGATATCCAAATGGAAAATTAACCTTAAGTCTCACCTCTTAACTTACACAAAGTTAATTTTCAGTATGTTATAGGCCTAATATGGAAGTTTATGAAAGTTAACAGCTTCTAGAAGGAAACCGTATGAATATTTTCAGTGTTTAGGCAGACAGATCTGCTACTGGAGCACAAAACATACTAACCGTTAAAGCTGGTTTAGTTGGTTGGTAAGTTGGGCCTCATTACCATTCAGGACTTGTTTTGTCAGAAGAGCCACCATGAGCTGAGGGTGCGGGTGCAGAACACAGCCCGGAGCAGGTACGGGCGGTACGGTCACCTGACACGGACTCGTGTCCAGAGCACATCCAGGATGCAAGCAAACAATAGGGAAAGGCAAACAACTCAGTAAAGGGGTTTAGGGTCCATTGGATTCTTGGGGGTGGGGGGACAAACCTCTGCTAAGGAGAATGTGATACTTAAAGGTATAGATCCTGGGGGTGAAGAGACCTGGTTTAGAAGCTAGCTTCATTACTTACTACCTGAGGGGTTTTGGGGCACATTTTTAAATTTCTTTAACCCATTTCTCTATCTGTACAAGATATTATACAGCTATTTTAAAGGAGGTCATCCATGTGCTTAGTGGAGGGCCTGGTGAGTTCTTGTTGTCATCGTCTAATTAGAGCACTCATCCAGCTGGAACATTCCATTCTTGAGTATTGGCATCTTTTCATATGTCTGCAATTGTGTGCCTCTGTCTCTGGTGGGAGGGGGGCAGTGATGGAAACCAACCCCCATGGAGCTTCTTCAGGAGCTCTCATTTGCTTCCGTCAGGCTTGAACCTCCCGTTCTAAAAAAAGTTATTCTTCTAATCTGAATGATTTCTTACATTTTATTCTAGAAAACTGTTACAGCAACCATGTTGGAAATCATAGTGCGGGGAATTCCTCAGCGCACCCCACAGCTGGCGTACCTGTGTCTGCGCAGGAAGGGGCTCCCCATGCTGGGGGGCTCCCTAAAAACCACAACCCTGGCTCCTCGTCACAGTCCCTGCAAGCCTCTACCACAGCGGCACCCCAGAAGTGCTTTTTACAGATCAGGGGCATGACCTGTGCATCCTGTGTGTCCAACATAGAGAGAAACCTGCAGAAAGAAGCAGGTAAGAGGGGGCGCCTGGGTGGCTCAGTGCTTAAGCGTCTGCCTTCGGCTCAGGTCATGATCCCAGGGTCCTGGGTCAGGCTCCCTCCTCAGCGGGAAGCCTGCTCTCCCTCCCCCACTCCCCCTGCTTGTGTTCCCTCTCTCGCTGTGTCTCTCTGTCAAATAAATAAATAAAATCTTAAAAAAAAAAAAAAAAAAAAGCAGGTAAGAGGTCTGCCCCCACGTTAGACTTGGGGAGGCTGCGTGTGCGGGCTGTCAGATGCTGCGGGCAGCAGAATGAGCATCGTGCTCTCCCTTCACAGTCCCCACTGACTCAGTTTATCAGCAGCCCTGATCATTTGGCAGCAAGTTCATTGTATGATAGCGGAGAAGTCTGTCTGATGTTCTTGGGCACTTGGCATTGTGTTCTTTTGGAAGTGTTTAGCTTGTTTAAGGTAGAATAGAATATATCTCTGAGTGAGTTAGTGATGGGAAGTGCAGTGTAAAGGTCCTGGCACATTCCGTGGGTAACTTCCTCAGTTAGCTTGTCCGGGTGGTCATCTCTGTTTTCCCCTCCAGCCCCAGCCATTGGCCTCACACTGTCGCATGAGTACATAGCCTGCAGTTTGTGGAGAAGTGGCAGTTTTGAACGTCCCATCTTTTGCTCCTGTAAATCACAGAGTGTTGTGGAAGTGCCACAGTGTTGTCCTCTAAACTGCATTTCTAATACTGTCTCTTAAACCTGAAAGTGCAGCAATAATCCGATCCTAGTCTTTTGTTTGGAAAATATCTTAACCCTGACTCCAGCAGAGTCACTTTCTCTCTCTCCATGTATCTCTCTGCTCAGACTCCTTGGCATTCACAGTCAGCCCTAAAGTAGGGTGACACGTTTCCATTCTCTGGTTCCCTATGCTGTATGTGTCCTGGAGCTCTAGAATGACTGTTTGCAAATTGAGGCGTGCTTGTCATCCATGGGCTGGCTGCTCATAAAATATCCTATATCTCACGGTGCCTGTGGTTCTTTTCCTGACTTGACTCCCCCATTTTTATCCGTTATGGCATCCTTTCTAAAGCACATGTCTTTCTTTTATGTGAATGAGTCGTGTTTCCCCCTCAAACTCACACAATAGTGTTAGCAAGGTACAGATCTCACTGGACTTACAATAGCGTTATGTCCCAATAAACCCATCATACACTGAAAATACTGTAAGTCGAAAATACATTTAATCCACCTAACCTAGGGAACATTATAGCTTGGCCGAACCGACCTGAAGCGGATCAGAACGTGTGTCGGTTGTTCCAACAGCTGATGGGAGCCGAGGCGCTCAGCCACTGTGCGGATCTCCAGAGAGGGCTGTACAGCATAGCGCTAGCCCCAGAAAAGGTCCAAATCCACAATTTGAAGTGCGGTTTCTACTGAACGTGTATCACCTTTGCACCATCATAAAGTCGAAAAGTTGTAAACCAAACTGTCTTATGTTGGATATGGTCTGCAGTCTGGGATTTCTCTTCCACTTCTGAAAGGGCTTACAGAGTGAAAAAGAGTCGAAAGAATTTTTTGTGTGTGTGTGTGAAAAATGTTTGAAGAAAAAAGCCCACCACTGATGGAACAGTAGTTGCGAGCTGCAGACGGTACTCCTTGCTGTGAGGTGTGTGCCCTTGGCACCCTCGGCATCTTCTGGAGCCTGACTCAGTAGCGCCCGGCCAGCCGCACAGACACTGGGAGCGGGGTGCATCTGCAGAACCCTAGACCCACTCCAGACCAACTGAACCAGAATCTGGAGGTTTAACAAGGTCCTCAGGGGGTTCATGTGCCCATCAAAATGTGAGAAGCGTTGTTCTAGAACACTGGTTCTCACACTTGGTTGGTGCATTAAAGTCGCCTGGCACCCACCCTGAGGGATTCTGATTTAACTGGTTTGAGTTTAGGGCCAGGTCTGGTGATCCCCAAGTGATCCTAATGTGCAGTCAGGTTTGAGAACTCCTCTTCTAGAGGCTTCTGGGGCAGATGTTTTTCTTTGTTAGGTTATATTGACTCTGTCATCCCAGAGGCCTTGCCTGGAGTCTTATAACTGTGGCCTGATGGTTCCAGGTATTCTCTCGGTGCTGGTTGCCCTGATGGCCGGAAAGGCAGAGGTTAAGTATAACCCAGAAGTCATCCAGCCACTGGAGATAGCTCAGCTCATCCGGGACTTGGGCTTTGAGGCAGCAGTAATGGAAGACTACACAGACTCAGATGGCGACCTCGAGCTGATCGTAAGTGCGGCCGGTGGCTGGGCAGGAGCTGGGGGCGGGAGCTGGGGCCTCAGGGCTGCAGGCCTCCGACGGGGGCCAGGAAACTTCTCCCGTTTTACACATATCCTGTGTGTTACTGGGGTTTTGTTTGTTTTGTTTTCCTTCGAAGCCAACAACGATGACCTGTTCATTTTATGAGGGAATGTTGGGCCTGTCACAGTCATAGGGCTGCACCCCACTGGGCGCATTCACAGTGTGAGGCGGAGGGGGAGGTGAGTAGTGGGAGTGTAGGAGGAAGAAGAATTTAAATGGCAGCTGTCTGGAGCTTGGGTTTGAGGGTGTTGAACCTGAACACATTCCAAAAAGCCCAGAGGCGTCTCGAGGCCAGAGGAGGTAAGTCAGCGTGGTAGCCAGGGCCACCGGTGCTATCACAGCCCGACTGTAGGCACAGGGGTGTCTGGGAGGTAACTGGCGACCAGTGTCCCATAGCAGCCACCCTGTGGTGGCGGCCAAGGGTGGATGCCAGGGTGGTAGGGGAGGCTCTTGTTTGCTGTCTGCCCATGTTACCAGCTGTACATGACAGCACATCATCACAATACTGGGTACGTGTAGCATTTCCACTATGCTGTATTCACAAGCACTTCTGTATAAAGCTCTTTTTGTGTAAATAAAGGGAGGCTTAGGACAAGGAATTGAGTAATGCCATTGTACCGGGGAGGAAGGGTCTTACTCCTTTACCGTGTTTAGTCACTGCCATTAGCGGTAAGTAAATGTTTGAGTACTAAGGACGCGAGTGGCACTTTGAGCTCTTGATAAGGGGCATTCTTTGTCGAGCAAACCCTCTGCTCTGGATGGGCCTCCCGGTGTGTGGTCAGGCAAAGTGTTCTGCTCTCCGGCTTCCAGCCCTCGGCACCCCTGAGGCCGGAGCACGGCCCCCGCTGCAGACCCCAGCCCCGATGGGGATGCCTCTGCCGGCTCAGACCACTGTGGAAAATCTAGATCATGAATGTTATTGGGAAAGGTGAAAACATTGTTTTTTTGAATACACATTTTAATCTTTATTTTGCCAATAAGAGAAAAAGATAATAAAGAAATGGGTAAGACAAATGCATAACTAAATTATTACTTCGTTATACGTATGTGTATTTGTAGGTCCAAATGACAAACAATTTATTCATTGAGTTAATGGGTTTAATTGTGTTGAGAAAAGATAACATATATAAAAGACGTATGACATGGTTTTTGAGCTTTTTATGCAGGTGTGGGATCCCGGTTATGAATAGTTTCTAAAATATATTCTATTTGAATTTTAATCTCCACAAGATATTCTTGCACAGAATTGAACATACAAAGAGTATCGATGACCTACTAAGCACTGCAGAACTTTGAACAAAGCAGAGCTAGAATTGTGGAGAGGTTTTATCAGAGTCAGATTCATTGTCTGGGTTCCAATTTTATTAGAGCTGCCTAAAGTATTTTAAATGTTCCAGATTTCTAAGTGTCAGGGTAGTATTTGCAAATTACAACACTCTTGCCATGTAATGCTTGTTAAAACCTAAAGGAACTGAATTACAATAGCTATGGTAATATATAATGTATTCTTTTTTTAAAATTTAAATTCAATTAACATATAGTTTATCATTAGTTTCAGTGGTAGAGTTCAGTGATTCATCAGTCTTATATAACACCCAGTGCTCATTAAATCACGAGCCCTCCTTAATGTCCATCACCCAGTTACCCCATCCCCCACCTTATCCCCTCCCCTCCAGCCACCCTCAGTTTGTTTCCTATGATTAAGAATCTCTTATGGTTTGTCTCCCTCTCTGATTTCATCTTGTTTTATTTTTCCCTCTCTTCCCCTATGATCCTCTTTTGTTTCTTAAAAAACTCCACATGAGTGAAATCATGTGATAATTGTCTTTCTCTGATTGACTTGTTTCACTCAGCGTAATACCCTCTAGTTCCATCCACATCATTGCAAATGGCAAGATTTAATTTTTTTTTTTGATGGCTGAGTAGTAATCCATCATATATATATATATACCACATCTTCTTTATCCATTCATCTGTCAGTGGACATCTGGGCTCTTTCCATTTAGCTATTGTGGATGTTGCTGCTGTAAACATTGGGGTGCAGGTGCCCCTTTGGATCACTACATTTGTATCTTTGGGGTAAATACCTAGTAGTGCAATTGCTGGGTCATAGGGTAGCTCTATTTTCAACTTTCTGAGGAACCTCCACACTGTTTTCCAGAGTGGTTGCACCAGCTTGCATTCCCACCAACAGTGTAGGAGGGTTCCCCTTTCTCCACATCCTCGCCAACATCTGTCGTTTCCTGACTTGTTAATTTTAGCCATTCTGACTGGCGTGGGGTGGTATCTCATTGAGATTTTGATGGGTTTCCCTGATGCCGAGTGATGTTGAGCATTTTATCATGTGTCTGTTGGCCATTTGGATGTCTTCTTTGGAGAGATGTCTGTTCATGTCTTCTGCCCATTTCTTGATTGGACTATTTGCCCTTTGGGTGTTGAGTTTGATTAAGTTTTTTATAGATTTTGGATACTAGTCTTTTATGTGATATGTTATTTGCAAATCTCTTCTCCCATTCTGTCGGTTGTCTTTTGGTTTTGTTGACTGTTTCCTTTGCTGTGCAAAAACTTTTTATCTTGATGAAGTCCCAGTAGTTCATTTTTGCCCTTGCTTCCCTTGCCTTTGTCGATGTGTCTAGGCAGAAATTGCTGCAGCCGAGGTCGAAGAGATTGCTGCCTGAGTTCTCCTCAAGGATTTTGATGGATTCCTGTCTCACATTTAGGTCTTTCATCCATTTGGAGTCCCTTTTTGTGTATGGTGTAAGGAAATGGTCCAGTTTCATTCTTCTGCATGTGGCTGGCCAATTTTCTCAACACCACTTGTTGAAGAGACTGTCTTTTTTCCATTGGATATTTTTTCCTGCTTTGTTGAAGATTAGTTGACCATAGAGTTGAGGGTCCATTTCTGGGTTCTCTCTTCTGTTCCATTGATCTATGCGTCTGTTTTTGTGCCAGTACCATACTGTCTTGATCATTACAGCTTTGTAATAGAGCTTGAAGCCTGGAATTGTGATTTTCTTTTTCAACATCCCTTTGGCTATTCGGGGTCTTTTCTGGTTCCATACAAATTTTAGGATTATTTGTTCCAGCGCTGTGAAAAAAGTTGATGGTATTTTGTTAGGGATTGCATTGAATGCATAGATTGCTCTGGATAGCATAGATGTTTTAACAATATTTGTTTTTCCAATCCATGAGCATGGAACGTTTCTCCATTTCTTTGTGTCTTCCTCAATTTCTTTCATAAGTGTTCTGTAGTTTTCTGAGTACAGATCCTTTGCCTCTTTGGTTAGGTTTATTCCTAGGTTTCTTACAGTTTTTGGTGTAATTGTAAATGGGATCGATTCCTTAATTTCTCTTTCTTCTCTATCGTTGTTAGTGTGTAGAAATGCAGCTGATTTCTGTGCATTGATTTTATATCCTGCCACTTTACTGAATTCCTATATGAGTTCTAGCAATTTTGGGGTGGAGTCTTCTGGGTTTTCCACATAGAGTATCATGTCATCTGCAAGGAGTGAGAGTTTGATTTCTTTGCTGATTCAGATGCCTTTTATTTCTTTTTGTTGTCTGATTGCTGAGGCTAGGACTTCTAGTACCGTGTTGCACAACAGGGGTGAGAGTGGGCATCCTTGCTGTGTTCCTGACCTTAGGGGGAAAGCCCTCAGTTTGGTGAAAAACATTTATTGAGCAATGTTCGAAGCAGTCTCAATAGTTGTATCATCATCATCACACGTTCAGAAACTGTCTGTAGACATTTTATGTCTGTATTTAATGAGCATTCTGGGAAATGTTGACCACTGATGCTCAAAAGAGTGACTTGTCTGGCTTGCCTAACACATATTACAAGGATGGCATGTCTCATTTCAGACTCCCTTTCTCACATCCATATGCACAGCGTGGCAGAAGTGGCAAAACAGAGAGGGTAGGGTGGCTTACAAAAGCTCCTCACTGTCAGAGCTAGAAGTCATTGTTGGTCTGTTGCCATCTGCTTTGTGACTGGCTATGTCTCTTGTCCCTGAGTTGGGGAAGAACGACTGTTTACCTGCCCTCAGCCCCTGGGGGAGCGTCCTGGAGGAAAATCTTGCACATGGGGTCTGGAGGTGGGAGTCCAGAGTAAGTAGTATTTTTGTCATCCTGTGCGGCAGATCACGGGGATGACCTGCGCGTCCTGTGTTCACAACATAGAGTCCAAACTCACAAGGACAAACGGCATCACCTATGCCTCTGTGGCCCTTGCCACCAGCAAAGCCCACGTGAAGTTCGATCCTGAAATTATCGGTGCACGGGATATTGTCCGAATTATTGAGGTAAGTCATTCATTAAAAAACATTATACAAACTAATGTAACGTGTCTCAACTCTACTTCAATTTAAAAAAATATGCCCACTTTTTAAAAAACAGTGATGTATAATCATTGTGGAAAAATGAGAAAATACAGCTAACCAAAAAATTAAAAAGAAAAGAAAAAGGTCACCTAACCTATCCTTCAAGCTTTCCCATGGAAGTAAGGGTGAATCATTTTAAAATAAACTGAAATTAAGTAAATATTAGGTAATCTGAGGGTGAAAACCAGTGAATTCTTGAATTCCCTGAGAAACATTAATATCAGTAAGCTACCTGGGCACATGGGGTTAAATTACTTAATTGTAATTATAAAATATTATTTATGTCTGTACCAAGTATCTGTAGACCAAAGGATTGTTGGTAATGAGAGGAGTTACACTGCATTTTACCACATTGTCAAGCTGGGCCTGCTTGACGATGAGACAGTTTAGTTGTTTCTCGTTTGGAAAATCAGAATAGTTTTCACACACTGCCTCCCTCTCTTCCCTCCCTCGCGTTGTCCACAGACAGTCCATTTCCTTTGTAAGGTCTGTTGATGGCACACCATAAGAGGGTGAGCATTCGTGGTGATCTGAATGGGTTACCACAGTCCAGACTGAACTAGGTTAACTCACAAGATGAACTGATGGTCAGGATAAACCAAGTTTAGCAGGAAGTGCTAATGCAGGGAAACCTCTGGTAGCAGCCTCGGTGTTGTCTTTCATTTTCTCTTCGTTGTGTGTGTGTGCCAAAGAGACAGGTTGTGTGTTGTGTGGCTTGGCGGAGCCCCCTGATGTGTGTTACTACTTGTCCTGCCGCTGCTGCTATGACCCCCCATCTCAGAGGCAGACAGCACAGCTCCTCTGTCAGGTGGGGAGAGATCCCCAGGGGGGTTAAGTGACTCTGCTTACTGGTATCCAGCTAAAGCTTGCAGGACCGGCCCTCAGACCCCCACCTCACAGTTCTAAGCCCAGCGGCCTTTCGATTTTTGCCCCAGCACAGGCCTTACAGAACAGTAGTGAGGGGGCACTGGTGAGGCCAGGGGGGCAGACTGGTGCGCCATCGGCAGGAGGGCCCCAGGGGTGCTTGGACCACATCTCCGTCACCTTCTTACTCCACATGCCCCTCCTGGCTGAGCTCGGTGCAGGAGCATCTCTGTCCTCAGTTGAGGAATATTGCTGATGTCTGGCCCCTGTTTCTGCATCTCTGCTGCCTCCTTCCCTAATCTAATTAAGCCGGTGTTCGTTGTAAGAGGGTTTGTCTTTAGACAGTCTTAGATGCTCTTTCTCCAACCATAACTTTTCATTTTCGTGTGAAATCCCATCATCAGAGTCCTGGGGCCCCTCCTTATATTGTCCTGACCGACAGGACGTGTCCTGGCGGCCTTTCCCGTGTAATTTCGTAAAGGGGTCCGATCAGATGAGGTGGAGAGGGTCAGGGAGCGAGGTGGCGAAAGAATTGCTGGAGGTTATTCCCTGAAAAGAGCCAGCAGATTGCAGTGCGGTGCCTGTCTGGCTTCAGGGGAAGCCTCGGCTTGCCGGTGCCGAAGGAGCCAGGGTCGGCTCGCCGGGGAGAGGCCCAGGCTGGGAGCCCAGAGACCTGTTCACTGAGCACGGGGCCTTGCTCTTCTGGTAGCACGATGGCTCTGAGCTGCAGTTTCCTCAGGCCGGGAATGACAGCACCTGACCTGACCACTCCCTAGTTGGGGTTCCTCACACAAAAATTCTGTGTGTATGAATTCGTCATTGATCAGCCTCAGGGCATGTTGAAGTTTCTCCCAGAACCTGTTGCCTTTGCCCACAGAGGGACCAGGAGTTGCCATCTGAGGCCAGCCCCTTGGGGATGACACAGTCTGTAAGCATAGATGGTGCTGGACCTCTGACGGGATTTGTAGTGTGATTTGGGTACGGAAGTCATGAGCAGAAAAACCAATACAGCCTTTTGAGGTGATTTTTGGTTAACTTTCTAATTTCCAGAGATGTAAAATGCTTTCTACCAATGCATGTTTTAACCAAGTTCTTTCCTCCCTGTTTTCACTTCTCTCTTTTTTAATAATAAGGAAATCGGCTTTCATGCTTCCCCGGCCCAGAGAAACCCCAGCGCGCATCACTTGGACCACAAGGTGGAAATAAAGCAGTAGGTAGAACAGAAAAGATACACTGGTGCTCTTGACTAAGTGTCCCTCCCCCCGCCCCCCCGCCAGGCCTGACTGCCTCGTTCTGTGCTCACGGGTGTCCCCCGCTGTCCGGGCTTCCCACAGCACCTTCCACTGAGGAGTTGCCTTTGCTACCCTGTGATGTTAAGCTCCTAAAACAGTGCTGTCTGACAGAACTTTCTGCGGTGAGAGAAATGTTCTATACCCGCACTGTCCAGGATGCTAGCCACCGGCGATGGAGCAGTTAGTATGACCGAGGAACTGAATTCTTCATTTCATTTCATCTTAACTGATTTTAATTTATATCGCCACTTATGGCTGGTGGCTGACTTAAGTTGAGAGAAAGAGAGTGGATTTTTTTCTTTCACAGCGGAGTATTTTAAGGCTTTATTTGAATGGGTTCTAGAAGTAGGGTCTGAGGGCAGGAACCATGGTCATTGGAAAAGAAAATGGCCTGGGAAAAAGGCGGCCTGAGTTCGTTCATTGCTGCAGGTGTTCATTACTCATTCAACAAACACAAGGGCACTGTTGTATGAAGGGTGTGACGCCAGGTGCTAGGGATGAACTGGAGAGGCCCATAGCTGGGCTAGGAATGAGTGGTTGAGCAGTGGCTCAAGTGGGTTCACGGGGGTCTGGGAAGCCAACCAGCAGCGGACACATGATCTGAGCCTCGAAGAACGAGTGGAGGTTTGCCAGGCTGTGGGGGTGGGGGCTGGGGGTTGACGTGCGGGTCTTCTAGGGGCATGGAGGCAGGCGGCCTTCAGGGACTCCTGTGATTGCTCTGGTCAGCATGCCTGGAGCAGGGAAGGCCTGACAGGAGAGGCACCTGGAAAGCGAGCGAGGGGCTAATTCTCGGGACCCTGGGCGACAAGCTGAGAGTCTGAGACTTCAGTCCTGCGGCCCGCAGTTTGCAGACCAGAGTGGAGGCGTGCCAGAGCTTCCACAACACATGGTGGGAATTTCATGGATGCTGACGTGAGACCACAGCTGTCACCTGCAACCCCCATGTCAAACTTTGGTGTTCACCAAGATGGCTTTGCAGTTCTCACTGCCTATATTAAGTAATAGTTTAAACATCAGATGTAAAAGTAAGGTCAGACTAATAAAATTTTGCTTTTATCTGTTTTTACTTGGGAGTCTGTATAAGATTTTATTTTGAACAAAGAGCAGTAGGCAGCCATATGGATTGGGATGTTCCACATCTTTGGGTTCTCAGTTCTGGGCCTCAGTTGCCCCCCCTATGGATTAGAGGCAACAGGTCAGCCTCGGACGGGCAGGGGCGTCTGTATATCTCTGGCACATCCCTGCAAAGTTTAAACCTGTAGGTGCTCTCTCGGTGGCTGGTGTCAGGGAGGGAGCCTCCCCTTCGTTTCACACCACTGGTTGTCTGTCCCAGACATGTGACAAAGGCAAATCTGAAACTGAGTCCCCAGGAGGAGACCAGCCCACAATCCCAGTGACAGGTGATACCTAATAGGCCGGTGTCACTGCTTTGCTCTGCAGGTGGAAGAAGTCTTTCCTGTGCAGCCTGGTGTTCGGCATCCCTGTCATGGGTCTGATGATCTATATGTTGGTGCCCAGCAACGAGCCCCACGAGTCTATGGTCCTGGACCACAACATCATTCCAGGACTGTCCATTCTAAATCTCATCTTCTTTATCTTGTGTACCTTTGTCCAGGTGCGTATCAGAAAGGGCCAACCTCTGCCCCCCCTGCCTGTGTGTGGCCAGTAGCTTCTCCGCCCTCCCGTGCCAGACACAGCCCTTCAGCCTGGCTATCACAGATGTCCTGCAGGGGCTCTTTTCTCTGTCTTACTACTGGCGGGGGGGTGGGGGGTGGGGGTGCGAGATGCTTGAAAGGACCTGGTTTCACTGTCACTTTCACGGTTGTAGGTGCTCAAACTCCCCCTGGAATAGCAAGCCCTGAGACAGGCCTCCTGGAACTTCTCCTCTAGGGGTGATATTAAGGAGCTAGCTGAGTTGCTGCTGCTGGGAAGTGTGCCCTCCGTCTGTTTTAGAGTATAAAATAAAACTCCTGCCTTAACGATAGAATGCTTAGTTGAAGACTATCTGAGGGCAATATTTGTGGCCTGAATTTGCTTGTTCTTGTACTTTCTTTTTAATTACAAATGTAAAGTATATTTATTGTAGACAATTCAAACCATGCTGAAGGAGAAGCAGCAAAGGGGAGAATAGTCTTTCACTGGAATCATACCCCGCCTCCAGCCCAATCCTGTTCCAGAGTTACCTCAGTATTATTACTAGTTGGACGTGTATGTTTACAGGTCTTCATCTATGTAGAGAAAATATACATGTGCTTAGATATGTAGGTGTGTGTACATATTCACATAATACACACGGGCTTTTTATTTTTTAACTGGAATAGGATCATACTAGATAAATTGATTTATAACTGGCTTTTCACTTAACCACATATTATGGGCATCTTTCATGCCAGTGGTTTATAGATCTAGCACATTCTTTCTCAGGACTGCAGAGCACTGTCCACAGTATAAATGAACCATGCTTTACGTCCCCGTGGCCCCCTTGCCCTGTTGATGGACATTCAGGTTACGTACTCTGGGTTTTAAAGGTCCCCCAAGACCTTGACCCTACGTTCTTGTGCCAGAAATCCATAGGCCTGTGAATCAGGAAATACATTTCCTGCACGTCCCCTGCTGAGGAGAAAGTCATGTCCAAGCACTTGCAGGCGCAAGGGGCCTCTGGGCATCTGGTGGCTCCTTGGACTCCAGGCCTCCTTGAGCAGCTGTTGCTTCCTCTGCTGTCTCTCAGCTCCTTGGCGGGTGGTACTTCTACGTCCAGGCCTACAGATCTCTGAGGCACAGGGCAGCCAACATGGACGTGCTCATCGTGCTGGCCACCAGCATCGCCTACACCTACTCGCTCGTCATCCTGGTGGTGGCCATGGCTGAGAAGGCGGAGAGGAGCCCTGTGACCTTCTTCGACACCCCCCCCATGCTCTTTGTGTTCATTGCCCTGGGTCGGTGGCTGGAACACGTGGCAAAGGTAACCGCAGCTTCAGGTGAAAAAGAACTGTTCTTCAGTAATTCAAATCTTAATTCATCTGAACACCTTATTTAGAATTACTAATTACACAGAGTCTAGGGAAAGACTTAAAGAAATGTGACACCTACGTATAATTAGGTGTTCTGATCACTAATCTCCAAATTGGTTGCTACTTCCGAAATCCCAGCTAATCTGGTTAATTATTGAAACCTTTGTTCAGGCACATTGCGTAATGGAAATTTCAGGGCAGCGCTCACACCACCTCTTTGTACATAACTGACTATATGGCTTATTAGTCTACACATCCATGTTTCCATCTGAGGATCATGCCATTTTTAACACCCTGCATTATACCCACATTTTAACCTATTCTATAAAAGAGTAGGACTCAAGCTCTAAGAGAAATTAGATTGAACCTTAAAAAAAAAAAAAAAGCAGCTAATGGGCAGGCTGGTTTTGTATTTTCTGCTGAAATGTAATTCATGGCACTTTGTGGCATTGTACGTTCAGTGCGGCGGTGACATGGCTGCGTGTCGATGGCAGTGAGTAACATCTATCCTGGAGGAGCCTTTTCACATGCACTGTGGCTGTGTTAAGGGGTCCGCCTCTTTCCGCAGGGGCTTTCTGTAACACCAGCCGCTTTTAACACCAGCCTAGTGAGTGTGGGTCTGGCTTTGCGCGGGTCAGCTTACAATAGCTCTTGTTTTCCATTCTGATTATTTCCTAGAGCAAAACCTCAGAAGCCCTTGCCAAACTCTTGTCTCTCCAAGCCACAGAAGCCACTGTTGTGACCCTTGGCGAGGACAACTTGATCATCAGGTGGGTTCTCTACATCCAGAGTTTTTGACCAATTTATATTCATCTGTGTAATACACCTCAAGACACCCAGCATCTTCATGACATTACACTAGACCTTGCGGGGGCAGGCAAAGACTTATACGGTCAGATCTGTCCTCGATCCAGGTAATTAACAAGGCATTTACAGACTACATGTGCATGTGCAAGATTTCAGGGTAGGGTGTGTGTAGGCTAAATGACAAATGAGAGGTCTAGGTGACTAGTGTTCCCAGACTAGAGAAGGGGAAGGCTTGAGGTGGTCAGGGAAAGCTTCAAAGAGCACGGACTATACACTGGACCTTCCTTGCAAGATCTGGAGGATTTACACAGGCTGAGAGGTAGGGTTTCAGCTTGCCAAAGAATACAAATGTGAGAAGTATTTTTCTTCTTCATAAGGTTGACAGATACTAAAAATAATAATTATTATCAATATTGCTGGAACTCATATGGCATTTGCTATCTGCCATACACTATTTTAACCTCTTTGTATTAAATCTAATTAAAAAAAAACAAAACTGTAGGAGGAAAGCACTGCTATTAACCATATTTTGCAGATGAGGAAACTGATGATCAAAGGGGCTAAGCAACTGGCCCGAGGTCACACAGGTGTTAGGTAGTGGAATGGGATATAACTTAGGCTCTTAGTTCCAGAGTCCATGCTCTTAACCCTTCCACATACTGACTCTTAAGGCACATTTGATAATATGGACATTTGCACAAATTAAGGCTTCTCTACTTCCCTGGTCAGCCTCATTTTCATATTCTAGGCAGTGCTTATTTCAAAACTTCTTCACATTCCTGAAATCTCTCTCTGGCCCCACCCCTTTCCCCTTTGGCCTTTGATCTCACTCTGACTGCTGAAAATATAAGCCATCGAGGTGGGAAATCCGTCAGTTCCCTGTCACTCAGTCCCTCAGTGAGCCACAAAGCTAACCTTCCCCACTGCATGCTCCCTTCCCCCCACCCCGGGGGCAGAGGCCTCTCCTTCTGGGCCTCTGCTCAGGAACCTCCCCCTCTGTCAATTTCATCTTGATCTTCAGGGTGTCAGTCTTTGCTGCTTCCAACCATCCAGTATGACATATAGTCCAAACTCCTGTTGTCAAAGCAATCCCCTGTGCCCCGCCCCCACTGCACATGCCCATTCCTCACGCTGTTGCCAGTGTGGGCTCATGAGTGCATCCCCCAGAGATGGCCCTCAGAGGCTGCGAGCCCCCACCTCTGCTTTCCAGGGGGCACTCGGCCAGCCTGTGCTGTGAATGAGGCACCGGCCGACCACAGCATGGAAGCACTGGTTTTTGTCTGGATGCCAGCTTTTAAGCACTGGCCGGAATTACGGTAGCAGTAGTTGAGATTTGAGAACTTACGGTGTACCACTCCCACTAGCCAGTACTTCATATAAACTACCTAATTTAACCTGATAACTACCCGGTGAGGTACGGGCTCCCGTGATCCCCGTGTCTTTAGGAAGAACCTGAAGCTTAGTGGGGTGGAGTGACTTGCCCTGCATCCAGGGCAGGTGAGTGGCAGAGCTCCCTCTCGGCCACCTGCTAACCTGTCTTCCGGGCAGGAGGACCCCGTGGGACAGAGCAGCTGGCCACATGTGGGCCTCCACACGCACGTGACTGCGTGGCTCTGTAGCATTTGCACACCTTGGCTTTGTTTTTTTCCCTTATAAATTAATGACATGAGGGTTTCTGAGATACGGAAATATTCAGACTGGGAACAAAACCATGGACAGCTGCATTTACTTGCTGCCTTTCGTTTTGAAGTGCTTCTGAAAGCACCGGCCACAGTCACACGGACTGCTCAGTTGATTCAAATGTGAGGAGACACGCATCTTTGCCAGAAGGCAAAAGCTACTTGAAATGCCCAAGGACGGTGGGACTACCCCAGTCACAGCTCAGTTCTTTTCTGAAGACGGCAATTAGCATTTGGCTGTGGACACATTATGGCCAGACTCCTACTGTCATTATGTGGTTGGCACCATTTTCTAAGCTAGGAGCCAGAAGACCAGAGTTCCTTCAGGCCTTGCCACAGGCAGACAGGCTGTGTGCTAGGAGCGGGTCAGTTATGGCCTGTGAGGCACAGTTCCTGTCTGTCAGACTAGGGTGGTGGTTCCTACCCCACCTTCCTGACGGTGTGCTCCAGGCTGCTGGGGTGTGCTGGTGCCAGGGCCCCCGAGTCAACCTCCGCCTTCTGTGGGGCCTTGCCATGTTGGGCCTCTGCAGGTGTGGACTGGTCTGCGGTGCTGTCAGAAGGCCACCAGAGTTCCCCACCTCAGCTGTCTCCTTTCAGCGAGACTTGGGCCTCTCCCTCCCTCTGTCCCTCTGCCAGGGACACCTGTCTGTCCCAAGTCTTGGGTGATGGGAGTGTCTGTGATCAGTCTGGCACATGGTTACCTCTGGTAACCCCCTGCCCCTTCCTGTTGCCACCACTCTGTCCCCTACAGCACTGCCACAGGGTCTTCATTGGCCTCCTGCTCCCAGCTTCGTCTCTTTTTAAATACCTTCCCACATTCAAACCAGTGATCTCTTGGAAGCACAGATCTGCTTGTATTCCTCTGTAGCTGGAGCTCCTTCAGCGATTCCCTGCCATCCTTAGGATGAAGTCTGTGTGCTTAGTAGGCGCGTGAGACTCGGTGTCTGCCCCGGCCCACCACTTGGACTCAGCCCCTTGTGCCGCCATGCCTCCATCTTATCCCAGCCACACCCCAATGGCAGCTCCCAGGAGGAGGTTCTCAGGTCTCCCCACACACCTTTCTTCTTCCCCTCTGCCTGGCTGCTTGTCCTTCAGGGCTTAGCTTGGGGGGCATGTCCTCCAGAAGCCTTTCCTGTCCCCAGGCCTGCTTGGCTCTTGAGCCACTTCCCCTGGGACACCCACGTGGCAGGTTCTCAGATTACTAGTTGAATGAATGAAAGGACCATTAAATGTTCAAGAAATCACCCCATGTTGGTTGGGGTGACATTCAAGGGCTACACGACCTGGTCCCCAGTTTCCTGCATTGAAGTCTCCTTTTTTTTTTTTTTTTTTAGGTTTTATTTATTTATTTGACAGATACAGCGAGAGAGGGAACACAAGCAGGGGGAGTGGGAGAGGGAGAAGCAGGCTTCTGCTGGGCAGGGAGCCCAATGCAGGGCTCGATCCCAGGACCCTGGGATCATGACCCGAGCTGAAGGCAGACGCTTAACGACTGAGCCACCCAGGCGCCCCTGCATTGAAGTCTCCTGTGGTAGTGGGGAAAGCAGAGTTACAGACTTCGTCTAGGTAGTGGCTGTTAAGAACTATTCTTAAGTTTTTGTCTTTTTACTTTGTGTTAGATGAGGAGGGAGAGGAGAGAGGAGACAGGTGTGGCAGACAGACTACTGGCAGAAGCTCCTAAAGCAGAAGAAATGCTAGGGAAAACACTGTCTCTCAATTACGTGTATTCCTGCACCGTGGCGTTTTGGGGGACATAAGCTTCTGAAGAAGAAATGCTGGGAGTTCACTGGAAGGAGCCACCTTGACCCCCATCAAGTGCTGTTCACCTTAAATTAAGCTGTTTGGACTTAGAATGATATGGTCAATTCAGATCAAAGGGGAAATTCAACTTTAGGTTAAGCAGAGATTGACATTACTAAAGGTTTCTTAGAAGGGCACCCAGCTGGACATGGGTGCCAATTTCTTGAAGAATCCCCATAGAAGCGAACCTTCTAAATCTTAGTAGTTAGGTTATTCTGGGGGAGAAGTTTCTGCCATTAGCTCCTGATTCCCCTTCTCAAGTGAGCAGGTGCTCCTTCTCCTGACAGGCCTCTCTTACCAAGTGAGGACGTGGTGTAATGGGAAACTCCTCCAGGTCGAGTAGACAGGCCTCAGAGGGGCAGGGCCTGGGCGTTTCCATCACTGGGAGACTTTAAGAAGCAGCAAAGAACATTCTCAGATTATGGAGAGTCCTTCTCTCCTTGTTTGCCACCCTGCCCAGCCCCCAAAGGGGTTTCCTCATATCTACTCCCAGCACTCGAGACTTCAGTGCGCCCCTCCTTTTCCTACCCCATTTCTTGTATTACGGCCATTACTGAACTTACATTCACAAGTCTGCTTGTAGCTTCTGGGGTGTCAGTATCCTGAGAGGAAGGCTCCACTTTGTCCTGTTTGTACCCAAGTCCAGCACAGTGCCTGCTGCACAGAGGCCCGTCACTAGGGAAAACGTCCATTAAGTGAAATTCCCTGGGCGCTCACCACATGCCAGGCACCATACTAAGTACTGAACACGCATTTTCTCAGTTAATCCTGGAACAAAATCACCATTGTAGAAAAGAAGACACTGTGGCTTTGTACCAGGATTTGACCCAGATGGCACCACTGACCTGTGATTCACCAGTGCCCTACCGAGGACTCCGAGCTCCCAAGGCCAGGGCTGTGTCTGCTTTGCTCCCCACCGTGTCCCTGGCACCTGGTGCACACAGTGTCTCCCGTGGCACTGAGCCTGTATTTATGTACACCGGCCCGAGCTGTGTGTGCTCAGAGCCTTGCAGGGAGGGGACAGCATGGGGCACCGAGCTGGACCTTTGGATACAGACAAACTCTTGAATCCTCATTTTGCAGAGGATGCTCCTGCACAATTTTTTAAAAAAGAAAATTTTGATGTAAATATTTACCATCTCTGCACATTTTGGTTCCCAAGTTTTATACATTTATACATAGCAACGTTTAAAGAAATGGGCATGTAGATTAAGTTTCATGCCTTTCTAAATCTTCAGGTTTTTGCTCTATTGGGAGTGAATATCACTTACCTCATATTCTTTTGGGAGGATTCAGTGAGAAAAAAACAGGTACAAATCTAGCACAGTATTGTACACTCAGTAAAGGTCTGTGTTACCCTCTCATGTTGATAAGGCAGCTTATTGTACATTTTTCTCTGTGGTAGTTTGAATGTAGTCCTTGTAGAATGAAGGGAGTGTCTAACATAAACCTCAGAGCCTGCTTATCTGCTTTTATCACCGTTTGGTCATGAGGCACTGTTATAAACGGGTGACCGTTGAACAACGGTGGGGCTTAGGGGCTCTGACTCAGCGCAGAGTCGAAAATCCACATATAACCTCTGACTCCCAAAAACTTTACTAATAAGCTACTGTTGACTAGAAGCCTTACCGACAACATAAAACAGTCAGTTAGTGCCTATTTCGTATGTTCTTATATACTGTGTTCTTAGAATAAAGTAAGCGAGAGAAAAGAAAATGTCAAGAAAATCAGAAGGAAGAGAAAATGTATTTCTTTTTTTTTTTTTAAAGATTTTATTTATTTATTTGAGAGAGAGAGAGAGAATGAGAGATAGAGAGCACGAGAGGGAAGAGGGTCAGAGGGAGAAGCAGACTCCCCGCTGAGCAGGGAGCCCGATGCGGGACTCGATCCCGGGACTCCAGGATCATGACCTGATCCGAAGGCAGTCGCTTAACCAACTGAGCCACCCAGGCGCCCAGTAAGGTCCTATTTTTTTTTTTTTTAATTTATTTATTTGAGAGAGCGAGAATGAGAGAGAGAGCACATGAGAGGGGGGAGGGTCAGAGGGAGAAGCAGACTCCCTGCTGAGCAGGGAGCCCGATGCGGGACTCGATCCCGGGACTCCAGGATCATTACCTGAGCAGAAGGCAGTCGCTTAACCAACTGAGCCACCCAGACACCCGAGAAAACGTATTTCTATTTCTGTACTGTATTTATTAAAACCCTGCCTGTACCCGCATGGTGCAAACCGGGCTGTTCAAGGGTCGGTTGTATACAGTGATGTGTATTTGGCCTCTGTGGCAGTTCCCTGGCGGCCTCCAGCTGGCTGTCTCCCGCTCCTGCCCTACCCTCGTCTCCCCCACCGCGTGTCTGTCTGTCTCCGGTCGACCCCCCCACCCCAGCATCCAGCCCTCAAACACCTACGGCTCGCACGGTCCCGTCTGACCCACTCCCTCTCCTGCTCTTTTCCCTGTCCCAGCACATCTTCCCGCGAAAGTGGCCCGAGTTGCCATCTGCTGGCTTCCTGTGCTCTTGTCCGCCCCTCCCGCTGGGCTGCTGCCTCCAGCAGCTTCTGAAACTGCACTCCCCGCCCACAGCAGACCTCTTCCATGTACCCCAGCCCAACTAGTGCTGGGTTTTATCTTCCTTCGGCCTCTCACCAGCATTCCCCCCTGCCCCCCAGTCTCTCCATTGAAAACTTTCTGTTGGTTTTGTTCCTTATGCACGTGTGACTGACCTTCACGGAGGTACCCAGCCCAAGTGCAGAGTGTGATGAAGTCTGCCTGTCTGGCGGTTGGACGGGGACACCTGCTCCCCCACCTCGCGGGCTTCCCTGCCCCATCTACCCGGGCCCTTCCACCTGCTCAGCCTCCAGATGTTGTCCGGCCCCAGGGCTTAGTTCTAGAACTCCTTCTCTCTTCCACTCGCACACCCAGGTGCGCTTGCACCATTTCCTGGCTGTAAATGCCATCTGTGTTGGGACAGCTCCTGGATTTGCACCTCTGGCTCTGCGCCCTCCTCTCAGCTCAAGTCCCGTTTTCTACTCCCTGCTTGACATTTTCCCTGGAAGTCAGATAGGCATCCCAGACCCAAAGGGGATCAACATGAAGGTCTTTATTTCGTCTCTTTTCCTTCTCTTCTTGCGCCCTCCCTCAGCTGCTTCGGTGCACTTGCCTCCATCGCAGTAACAGAACTTAGAGCTCCCTCTTTGATTCTCTTCTTTCCGTCTTTTACTTGGCTGTTGCAACAGCCCGCCTCTTCCCCCGGCTTCTAGTATTGTCCCTGCCACCCACTCATATACAGCAGCCAGAGAGAGGACTTGACAACGTGAATCAAATTATGTCACTTCCCAGTAAAAACCTTACATCCAAAGCCCGTACTCTGCTCCGCAAGTCCCCACAGGATCTGGACTGCCTGCTTCTCTTCCTGGTTCTCCGGGGCACCCTTCCTGCCTGCCTTGGGGCCTTTGCATTAGTTGGGTTTTTCTCCTTGAACTTTCTTTTGCCTGTATGTTGGCCCTTCTTATCATCCAGGTCTCAGTTCCTCTTCCAAGTGAACCCTCCCTCCCCCCCGCCAAAAAGGCTTCCAGTCACATTATTTGCATCCTAACACTTATTTAATACCTGGGACTGTCTTGTTACCTGTTTCTTCTGCAGAACGGGTCTTCCTGAGGATGGGGACTTGGCTGTCTTGTTCCCAGCCATATTCCCCGTGCCTAGTAAAGTGCCTGCCCCTTAGTATTTGCACAATAAATAGTGGCTCAATCTGAAAATGAATACCGCTGCTTGATGTAAAGCAAAGAGCATGTAACCAGTCGAACCCTTTGTTGAGAACCCGAGCTGGGCAGCAGACTAAGAGGGTTGAGCTCCGGTTAATTGCTGTGTGTGTAACCTGAGTGGCTTTGTTGGCAGAGAGGAGCAGGTACCCATGGAGCTGGTGCAGCGGGGCGATATCATCAAAGTTGTCCCCGGGGGAAAGTTCCCAGTGGATGGGAAAGTCCTGGAAGGCAACACCATGGCCGATGAGTCCCTCATCACAGGTTAGGTGGCTTGTCTCCTGTTCCCTGTGGGTGGGTATCGCAGGAGTTGCCGGGTCACATGAATACTGAATGGGGGCTGAGTGTGTTACGGTTGATCTCTTTTCTCCACCTCTAGGAGAAGCCATGCCGGTCATGAAGAAACCCGGAAGCACAGTGATTGCTGGGTCTATAAATGCACACGGCTCTGTGCTCATTAATGCCACCCATGTGGGCAATGACACCACGTTGGCTCAGATTGTGAAATTGGTGGAAGAGGCTCAGATGTCAAAGGTAATGAAGAAAGTTAAAAAATAACATAACGTCAGCTTTCTCATTTTAGAAGTTATTCTAAGAGTTTCATAGACTCAGGAAGATTTTGCTGAGTAGAGAGTGATTAGTAAGCGTTAACTTACTAATCAAGGGGGCTCAGAACCCCAGTGCTTGCCCATGCCTGTGGGGACATATTTCTTTGTGGATTGTAATTTCTCATGGTCTTGGTGTTTTATTTTCATAGGCACCCATTCAGCAACTGGCTGACCGGTTTAGTGGATATTTTGTCCCATTTATCATCATCATTTCAACATTGACGTTGGTGGTATGGATTATAATCGGTTTTATCGATTTTGGCGTTGTTCAGAAATACTTTCCTGTAAGTTGAATGCTTTGGGCAGTATGGTTGCTGTGTTTTAAATAATCTTTTGCCATTAGTCCTATTTTCTCATATCTTAGATTCATTGGGCTTTAATTACCCATTACATTTATTTGCTTGCTTCACTTATTGGCAGCAGAATCTTAGCCAAGATAGAACCATCAGTCACTCTATTTCTGCAAGTTTTTTTTAGAGATGCCCTTTGCCTTCTGGTTGAATAATTTCCCAGACACCAGTTAGTTCTCAGTTGTCACGTCTAAAACATTTACATAACGTGACCTTGACCATTTCTGGAGTTATGAGGCCCATATCATGGTCACTTCACAATTTGGATGGCATGATACCATTTTAACAGATTTTAAGAAAAATATGTTTTTTGCTCTCTCTGTCTGACAGTACCGTCTTCAACCTTGCGGCTTCCCAGGCAATGCTAATAGCTTTTTAATAATAAATACTTATTAAACATACATGAGACAATGGAATATGCTTTCTTGAGTTAAAAGGTAGATGATGAATACTATCTTAGGAAATACTCTTTTGTCAAACTTCCAAAAAAAGTGGAAAGTACAAAAATAACCTTTTCTGCTCGAGAAGTAAGAACTGTATAAAACAGTAATTCTCAGTTGGGAGTAATTTTGTTGTCCCCAGAGACATTTGGTGATGTCTGGGGACATTTGGTTGTCATGACTAGGGAGGGAATGCTACTGACATCTAGTGGGTAGAGACTGAGGATGCTGCCGGACATCCTACCATGCAAAGGACAGCCCCCCACAGCCAAGAATCATCTGGCCCCAAATGTCAGTAGTGCTGAATTTGAGAAACCTTGATGTATATCAACAGGGAATGGCCCAGTTGGAGTCATATTTGATAACTGCCCATGAGGGGAACAGTGTTTTATCTATGGTTTAAAGTATCTCCTACTTAGCCAAATTGAATGCCTATTTTACCTTAGAGCCATAGAATAAGAAATTGTAAATATGGAATGGATAATTTTTTTCTTTAAAAAAAGGTCTACCCATAATTAAAGGCATATCTGAAATTCTTGGGGTGCATGTCATTTACTAAGATGTCATTTTCTCTCTCAAATTTCCTATCCTAAAATGAAAAATGTCCAAGTTAAACTCTTTCTGACATCTAAGGAGACCTTGGTGCTTTGAAAAATAACCTATGACTATATTCCTAGAACTCGCCAGTGGCTATTACGGCACCTGACTGTCTCAGATTTCAGCTTTTGCGGGAGAGCAGCTCATTGGCATGTGGCTGTGGGAAAAGTTCCTAAACAAGTTGGAATATGGGGCTTTCTGCTGTTCCCTGCCTTTCCATCTTACTTTGGCTTCTTTTGTTTCTATCTGCGATATCAGGGAGGATGCTGGCAAATGAGGTACTGCATGTTCCTTTAAGATATCATCACCCTGCTGTCTAAAAGTCATTTGTAGGGAGAGGTTCATGTCACCCTCTAGAAGTCCACCAATCCCATCAGAATGCCCAGTGCTATTTTGATGAGAATTACTGTTTTTTTTAAATCACATCATCTTTATTTCTAAAAATTGCATGATGTCTTAAATACAGTGTCCCTCTATCTAAATCCAACTGTTTCTAATCGAAGTGAAATGACTCTTTAATAATACACCTTATTTTAGAATTCTGCCTTTCAAAATCAAGGAATAAAGTGTAGATGGAAGCTAAAGAGATCGTGGTCTGTATCCTTGATTTAGAAAACATACTGTGATTAAAGTGAATTTAGTGTCTCCTGATTGTGCTTCAGAGACACCTGCCATTTTGCAAAATAAACCAAGATGTCAGAATGCAAATAGTCATACCCATATGTGTCGGCAGGTAACTGGAAAGGAGACCCATATTTTGTTTGTTTTGGGTTTACAAAGAAAACGATAGTGGAAAAAATAGAAGAAAATAAAGATGGCTCCAAATCCCATCCCTAGGAGTAACGATTTTTTGCATTTTGGTAAACCCCTTTCCAGTATTGTTGAAAGGCTATATAGAGATACAGGCAGATAATTTTGCACTAATTCAGTCACAACACATGCCGTTTTGTACTTGTTTTTTTTGTTTAACAATGTTGCTGGTGTCTTTCCATGTCAATAAGTATAGGTATGCATCATCGATTCAACGATCGAATAATATTTCATTATGCACCTCATCTTCACAATTTAATTCCCCAGTTCCCTATCGGGTATCTCTAGTTTTTTGAAAAAAAAACTCTGTGATAAATATCTTTGTATCTTTGGCCACTGGTATGATTATCACCTTAGGGTAGATTCCTTGGAGACCTATCATTTTTTAAAGTTTTCATAATAATGACAACAGTAATAATGTGTAGTATTGTTAATATGTAATATTGATAATGTGACAGTTACAATTTCTTAGACGCTTCTCCCCTCCCCCCACCGTGCCAGGTATTGTACAATGTATATTTATGTGTTTATATGTATTTATATGTGTATTAGCTCATATAATCCTTCCAACAACAGTTGGGCATTATTGGTATTATTGTCTCCATTCTGAATGTGAGGGAGCTGACACGCAGAGATGTTAAGTTAGTGTCAGGGCTGGGGCATGGCCGTGCACGGGCCAATTCTGGAGTCTGTGCGCCTTCCTCTAGTAGGGAGTTTTATATGACTCTCTCCTCCCCTCATGGCTCTCTCAGAGGAAAGCCTAGAGTGTCAAGTTGGGGAACTGGGATGGGGACCAGTAAAGTGAGCCAGGTGATAACACAGCACTGAAGCAGACGTGTAGAAGGACTGCACGTGTTTCCCAAACCCCAGCTCATCACGCATCTGAGGTCCTGCTGCGCAGGCTGAAATGTTCTTATGTGACTAGAAGTCAGTGAGATTCCTCCTTTAACCCTCAGCCTGCCTTTATCTCTTTCCTCTTTTCAGACCCCCAACAAGCATATCTCCCAGACAGAGGTGATCATCCGGTTTGCGTTCCAGACATCCATCACGGTGCTGTGCATCGCCTGCCCCTGCTCCCTGGGCTTGGCCACGCCCACGGCGGTCATGGTGGGCACCGGGGTGGCCGCCCAGAATGGCATCCTCATCAAAGGAGGCAAGCCTCTGGAGATGGCCCACAAGGTTGGCCCTTGCGCCCCTGGCTATCCCTTGAGGTCTTGGCTGGAATGACTCTGTAGCTGTTACTATGTGATTTTTTTTTGAAACTGAAGAGAGTCCGAGGGCAAGTAGTATCTGTTTAAATTCTGTATTAAGAGAAAAACCTGGAAGAGGCTTGAGGACAGCCCTATTAATTAAGTACAACAGGAAGCCAGCAGGGACTGGGAATGATAATAGCAGCAACAGCTAACAGTTGCAGGATTAAATGTGAATTGATTTAATCTCATTAACAACTCTTTGAGGTAGGTGCTTATTATTCCCATTTCTCAGATGAGGAAGCTCAGCAGGAGGAGGCGAGGGAACTCTCCCAAAGGCCTGCAGCTAATCCGCGGCAGGGCCAGGACTCACACCCAGGTAGTCGGGCTCAGAGGAAAGTACTGGAGCACATCCATGTGATTAGCAGAGGGACCCTGACTTCTGGGAGTGGAATAGTCAGCAGCAGTGTTTGTGGAGAATCTTGGGCCCAGCATGCCCGTCCCTCCATTTATTTATCTCTCCATTTATTTACTTGGTATTTGTTGGGCCCTTACTGTGTGTGGGTCCTGTGCTAAGCCCCGGCGATGGCCAGGGGCCTCAGCTGTCGAGGAGCTCCCACGTTAGGGGGAGAGGCAGATATGGGGTCAGTAAACCACCCATCTGTGCGAGGACAGTGTAGCGGGGACCTGACCTGCATTTGCGGGTGTTGGCCCAGGGGTGAGGGGGTGCACGGGCAGAGAAGGAAATAGAGAGGTTCATCTGGGACTGCCCACTCGAGCTGGAGTTAGCCAGGCAGTGGAGGTTGGAAAGGAGGCCGTACGGCCACATCATCGACCTGTAAGATCAGGGACTGTGAACTTTTCCTCACCATTGTGTCCCCAGCATCTTTCCCGGTGCCAGGCACGCTGGAAGCCCTCAACAGTTATTTACGGAATGAATGACAAGGAACCAAAAGAAAATCACTTGAGAGGGAGAGAGAAACTGACAGGAGATGAGGCTGTTGAGGGAGGAGGGCAGGGAGAGCGGGGCCTGGAAGGGCCTTGGAGTTTGCATCAAGGCTTCGGAATGTGTAAGACCCAGAGAACAGCAGGGAGCCGAGGAGGGGTCCGAAGCACCCGCGGGGTGGGACTGGGTTCCCAGTTGGATCGCTGTGGCTGCACGGTGCAAGGATTGTTGGAGGAGGACCAGTTGGGGTGCAGAGACCGCCGCTCAGCATCAGTTGTTGGCTAAGTGAGGGGGACAGTCTGACCCCAGCAAGCAGCTTGCCTTCTCTAGGGTTTGGGGAACTATGGGCATCAGGAATGGGTGGGCTCTGGCCATGGACACAGGTACTGACTGGCAGAACCCAGACCCATGGGGACTGGTGCAAGCTGCCATTGACCAAGTGGGCCAGGTGGGGAAACTGGCTCTGGTGGTTGCTTGTTATTATGGCCAGGGAACGCTCCCTATCTCTCTCTCTCTCTCTTTTGTTTGTTTTTTAAGATTATTTATTTATTTGAGAGAGAGCATGAGCAGCAGCAGAGGGAGAAGGAGGAGCAGGCTTCCCGCTGAGCGGGGAGCCTGATTCGGGGCTTGATCCCCGGACCTGGGATCATGACCTGAGCCGAAGGCAGACGCTTAACGACTGAGCCACCCAGGCACCCCTCCCTTCCTCTCTTGAACCTGGAGTTCAAGCTCCTTATTCTCAGTAGGCATGTGCACTCGGGCAGGCCAGAGAAACTGCACAGGGAGATGGGCAGATGGCCAGGGTCCTGACATGGGAAATCTGTGTGGTGTCACTTTCCAGAAGATGGTGCCGTGCCATCTCCTGTGAAATTGGGGTGAGAGTTTCTGGCTCAACCTGAAGAAGGTTAAGTCACAGTGCAGACTCTTTAAGCTGCACAGAAAGGGAAACCGTGTCTTTGTCGTGGGAGTGGTTGAACCCCGGGATTGATTGTAGGGGATTGTGTTAACAGGGTTATGAAGGGGTGTTGTGACCCGCTGGAGGTAGGTTGAGTGGAGTTCTGCCTCAAGATTGTGTGGGCTCTTAAAGTCCTTTCCATCTGTATTTGTGGTCACCAAGATGTGGTTGTTTTGGCAGATAAAGACCGTGATGTTTGACAAAACTGGCACCATTACCCACGGGGTCCCCAAAGTCATGAGGGTCCTCCTGCTTGTGGATGTGGCCATGATGCCCCTCAGGAAGGTTCTTGCTGTGGTGGGGACTGCGGAGGCCAGCAGCGAGCACCCTTTGGGCATGGCAGTCACCAAGTACTGTAAAGAGGTATGCGGACCTGGGCACTGCTTGTCCCTCGCCCCCTCGCCCCCCCCATCGGCCCTCCCCCTCTCACCCCTACCCCCATCCTCCATGCCCTGGCTGGCCGCCTTCTCCGCTCTCACCGGCTGGGCTGAAAGCCTCCAAACACCTTCCTCCTCACATGCCTCTTCTGCTGCCTCTCTAACCTGGGTCAGCTGCCTTGCAGGAGGCCTGGGCTTGTGGGCTCTGGGAACCCCTCAGCAGATCCCTGTGGAGGAGGTGGAGATGCAGCTGTCAGTGATGGGTCCCCTGTCCCATTTCCAGATCATCACAAAAGCCGTCAAGTGTTAGCAGTCACTTAGAGAGCATGTACTGAACATCTGTGCTTGGAACAACAAAAACTGCTAGGATGTGAACTCCACCCTCTGGGAGCTGATGGTCTGGTAGGGAGGACGGACGGTGTATCAGTTCAGTCCTTAATGAGTGCTCAGTGCAAAGGGGATACAGAACGGAATGGGGGATTGGGGCAAGACGAGGAGAGAGCCCCTCAACCGGGGGCAGTGAAACGAAAGGCGCCAGCAGAGGTGAGCCGAATGCCCAGTGGGTTCTTGGCAGTTAATGGGGAAGCATTCATCCTTTGACCTCTCCAGACGAAAGGTCCTGTTGCGTTTTCTGTGTTCAGTCTAAATATAGAAGCAGCAGGATGTGCCAGAATATTGCCCTGAAAAATTTTAAATGGTCTGGGCAAATACAATTAATGCCTTGGGGCAAAGCTGACAGCTCTACCTGGATAGGGAGTCTTCCAGAAACCTCCGTCCGTGTCTTGTGTAGGGTCATTCAGACCACCATTTCCCCCTCTCTTGTGAATGTTTCAGGACGAACGTGCTCTGTCATCCCTCCTTTGCTGTGTAGTTAGCCCCACAGGAAGCAGCTCCTCACATCTTTCTCCTGCCTCTGCCCTCGCCCCCGCCCCCAGGGCCTGTAAACGGGCAGTGACCTCCTGAAGGCCTCCGAGCAGCTTTGTTACTGCTTGCCTGTTCCATCACTCTCATGAAATTATTTGCAACGTAAAAATAGTATCTCTTCTCTTTTTTGCTCCCTCCACCTCCTTTAATTTGAGGCATTTGCCGTGAACTGCTCTTCTGCTGCCTAGTCTGCCCCTTGTCCCGTGTCATGAGGCATCCATTTAACAACTGTAGTGTCTGTATTGGATGAGACAAGCAGTTGCCGAGTTACTAGTCGATCTTCTCACCGGCCCGGTCCTGCTTTCGTGGTCGGTGCCTCTCTCTCCTGCTTCCTGCTCACCTCCCCTCTCTCCCTGGCTTCACAGGAATTGGGAACCGAGACCTTGGGATACTGCATGGACTTCCAGGCAGTGCCGGGCTGTGGCATCGGCTGCAAAGTCAGTAGCGTGGAGGGCATCCTGGCCCACAGCGAGCACCAGCAGAGCAAACAGGCTGCCCCCCTGAGCAGGACTGGCGGCGTTCCCGAGGCAATAGGTATCGCTGGCCCTTGTCTCTCTGCCCGGCCTGCCACAGCTTGGGCCCGGCTGGGTCAGCTGGCAGTGTGCCTAACCAGAGAGCACCAGGCCGGCACACCGCCGTGGGGCCCCAGCTATGGGCCAGGGCGGCTCCTGGCCGGGGTCCCGCGTGCCTGCCTCCCCCAGGAAAGCCTGCCGTTTGTCCATCGTCGGGTTCTCTGATACTTCTGAATCTTGACGCTAATGGCAGACAGAAGTAGTGTATGTTACTGCGATTCATAGAGTATTGGTTCTTTTTTTTTTTTTTAAGGTTTTTATTTGTTTATTTGACAGAGAGACAACAGGAGAGGGAATATAAGCAGGGGGAGTGGGAGAGGGAGAAGCAGGCTTCCCGCCGAGCAGGGAGCTGATGTGGGACTCGATCCCAGGACCCTGGGATCACGACCTGAGCTAAAGGCAGACGCCCAACGACTGAGCCACCCAGGTGCCCCTAGAGTATTGCTTCTGTGACCCATAATCTCGAGTCTCTTCTTTCTTACCCAAGTCAGTGCTGCTTCTCTAAGCTACAAAGGGGACAGATGGGAATTCTACTTTTGCTCCTCCAGTCTCCCTCCCGTGCTGTAGAACCCCGATGGCATGTGTCGTATTTACAGAGCTGGCAGCAGCAGGGAAGGCAGATGGAAGTGGTCTGCCCAAGCCAACAAGGGGTGCTGCTTGGAGTGAATACGGCTTTTCTGATTCTGGGGATAGCTTGCTAGCCATCAGCGTGAGAATGTGGACACCCTCCCCACCCAAAACGCCCGTGTCTGGTGTTTTCTCTTAAGTGTGCTGGGGTATTGTTAGAAGCCATCTGCTGCCTTCCAAGAATTCAGAACCCAGCATGATGCCAGCATGACCCTTCCATTTAGCTGCCAGGACTGGCCTGTGTGGTGACCCCTAGGTTAGTGGCACACATAGTTAGAAGGTGACAGGAGAAAGGCTCGCCTGGCCTTTTAGGAGGTACAGCTTTTAAACATTTCACAGAAGTAGACTTGTTATTTGCTGACGCACCTTGGGTCATCTATACCCAGCTACACTTGTTGCTTCTGATCTCTGCAGAAAAGGAACCAGCAGATACCTCTTAAAGGCAAATAAGGACACTACCAAATGTTTATAACATTTTTGCACACACTGCATGTACCTTTTCACACCCCATTTTGATCCACCCCCCGCCCGACGTTCCACACGTTAATTACTGTTTCCCTGGTCCTTTAAGGGTGGCGTTATGAGAAGTGCTTGCTAGCTCCTGTGTTTCAAAACAGTTAAACGGGACTTCCTGCTGTTAAAAGGGACTCCATGGTTTTTAGTCCTTTCTCATAGTAAAATTGGACTGTTTGGGAATAACCACAAACTCTTTTGAACAGATGCGACCCCCCAGACCTTCTCTGTGCTGATTGGGAACCGCGAATGGATGAGGCGCAACGGCCTAACCATTTCCAGCGACATCAGTGACGCGATGAAAGATCATGAGATGAAAGGCCAGACGGCCATCCTGGTGGCCATTGACGGTACCACCCCACCCTCGCCTTCTTCTGCTCTCAGCAGTGGAGTTTCTTGGGGCTATCTGGAAAAAATAGACTTTCTCCTTTTTTCCCCCCCCTAATAAATCTTCCTCTCTGTTAATTTAAATTCTGTGTTCCAAAAGGATGCCTTGCCAGTTTTCTCACTTCATTCTCGGTCCGGAGGTCCTGTCTCGCTCTGTCCATACTTCCCCCCGAGAGTGAGGCAGCTCAGCTGCCTTCGCCATCACTGTCTGCTTCTGTCCAAGCCAGCGGTTCCGTCACCCTCCTCCTCCATCACTGCACACACAGCAGTAGCTCGCTGTCCAGGAGGTTCACCCCTAGGGTCCTAAGTAACGAGATCGCTGCCCCTCCGCAGAGCTCCCCCAGATCGTGTGTGTCTGGGCCTTTACGCCTCAGATGATTGGACTCTTACCTTGTTAATGGTAGTTTCTCCTTATAGAAGTAAAACTGTATGCAGATAAGCAACATAAATTATTATCTTTAATGCTTCAACTAAATATGTTAAATACGTCTGCCACTCTTTTTTCCCTGCTCACTCCGCCATGTCCTTTCCGAAGCCCTTACACACCTGCAGTCCCCTCAGCTCCTCAGATCAGAACCAGCTCTGCTGGAGGGGCTGAGCCCTCTGTCACACCGCTCCCCTGCATCTGCTCTGCTGCACCTCAGGCCTCGAATGCCTTCCTGCCTCTCTCTCTGAAGATGCGCTCCAACAGACGCCCCCAAACGAATGCTTTCTGTAGGGAGAGGAAAAGGAAGGACTGATTTTCTGTTTGGACGCTCATCACTTTTCAGTAACATTTATTGTATTCATTCTATTTCTCATACCTTAATAGCTAACATGTATTATTATTATGTGCCAGGCTCTCTGCAAAGTAATAGTTGTTCCTTGCAGAAAATTGGGAAGATTCTGAGAGCCATAAAGAAGAAAATGCAATGACTCCTTGTCCTACCCCTTAGAGAGCCACCGTTAACGTGTCATATTCCTTCCAGACTTTTGTATGCATCTGTAAATGTAGGTTATTTTTAAAAAACAAAATAAAAACCGGGTTATGTTCTATAACTTGGCATTTTGTTGTTCACATGTGACATTCCACTATGGAAACTGTTTCCGGTAGCACAGCCTCCTTTGGTCCTCGGGCTGCCCGGTGCTTGCCCTTGTGGACTTACCGAGGGTGTCTCCTGCAGGTGTGCTCTGTGCCATGATTGCCGTCGCGGACGCAGTCAAGCAGGAGGCAGCCCTGGCCGTGCACACGCTGAAGAGCATGGGTGTGGACGTGGTTCTGATCACAGGGGACAACCGGAAGACAGCCAGAGCCATCGCCACCCAGGTGTGTGCCAGGGACTGGGGGCTGGGGATCGTCCCCCTTTGAAATTGCTTTTAAGCTCCCTGGAGCAGTTTGAAGAAACATAGGGAGCGCCAGTACCTCTGAGCGCTCCACGTTGCTCCTGGCCTCCCCTCGCCAGGTGCGTCTCACTCTGCCTGCTCTGCTCTGTCCTGAGCTGTGCAGCGTCCCACGGGAGACCACTGTGCTGCGGTCGCCAAGCTCACGTCCCTGGGGCCTGGATGTCTGAACTCAGGACAGGCTGCTGCCCTGGAAAACGCAATTCCGACATTCTCTGTATCTGTCTTTCCAATGGGGCAAAAACAAAGATCATGGCTCGAGAGCTGAAACACACGACTTCCGAGGCTTTGTTTTAAGGCAACAATTTGTCCGCTCAGCTCTTCTCACGCCCTGTGCGGCGGACAGACGGCTGAGTCCCTCACTTCCGAGTGCGTGCTGTTTGCCTGCCCGACCCCGCACACGGTGAGGCCTCCCGTGCAAGTTCCTGAAATTACACACCCTCCCCAAATGTGTGTACATCATAGGCTTTTGCAAGTGAACTGCTTCTTACAAGGGAAGCAGCGGTACCTCTCCATGGCCTTCCTTGCTAATGATGGACTTGTTGAGTACCGCCTCTTTTCCTGGTTAAAACTTGCTTATCTGTTCAGTGAGCGCTTGCTAAGCACCATTCATGTGACAGGCTCCAGAGAGGAGTGAAGAGGGCGCCTGCGCTCCAGCAGCTCGCTGTCCTCGGGGGAAGGGTGACCAGTGCCAGGGTTGAATTGAGTGCTTGCCTCTGCAACAGAAAAGTGCATAGGACATGTGGGAGCCGCCAACTGACCCCAGCGTGGCAGGGGCTGGAGCCATCTTCCCAGGAGAGGAAATGCTTGAGTCAGGAGTGGTCGTTTGAAGAAGAGGGAGAAGGTTGGAGAAAGGGAAGCTGTTTCCAGGACAGAGCAGGCAGCATGAGCACCACGGCACTGGGCTGGAGAGCTGCAGGAAGCTGAACGGGGCAGAAACCAGTGAGGGCTGGAGGCGGGCAGAGACCAAGTCCAGAGGGGCTTGGGAGGCAGACCGAGGAGTGTGGATGTCATCCCAAGGGAAGTGGGTTCCCCTGGGTCTTTAAGCAGGAGAGTAACGTGACCAGCTGACCACTGTTTTTGAAAGACCACGGTGGGGATAGGGGAGGATTGGGAGGCCGGGAGGTGGGCAGGGAGAACTTAAGCCACCATGGAAGCGGGGCACAGGGATGGCATGCCCTGGGATCTAGGGTTTGGTGACTGACATTGTTGACTGGGCTTGGAGGCCGGAGGGAGTGGGGGCAGGATGCCTCACAGGTTTCTGCTGCTGTTCACTACCCTTTGCCAACACCAGGTGTTGTCATGTATTTATCCTTTGACGACTGTTTCCTTTCCTTTTAGGTTGGCATCAACAAAGTCTTTGCGGAGGTGCTACCTTCTCACAAGGTGGCCAAGGTCCAGGAGCTCCAGAATGAAGGGAAGAAAGTCGCCATGGTGGGAGACGGGGTCAATGACTCGCCGGCCTTGGCCCAGGCCGATGTGGGCATTGCCATCGGGACAGGCACAGACGTCGCCATTGAGGCTGCTGATGTTGTCCTCATCAGAGTGAGCTCGGCTGTATCTTCTCGTGCCCTGTTGTCCCAGTTGTGGGAGCAGTGAGGGCCAGGGGACAGAGCTCCTGACTGACCATGTGTTCCTCCTACAGAATGATTTGCTCGATGTGGTGGCTAGCATTCACCTCTCCAAGAGGACCGTCTGGAGAATACGCCTCAATCTGGTGCTGGCGTTGATTTATAACCTGATCGGAATACCCATTGCTGCAGGTAGGGTGGCTCTCCCCTGCCAGGTTACCTTTGACTCCAGCTGCTGGCCAGAAAGGCTTCTCTCTGCCTGCTGCGTTTCTGCCCAACTTAGTGAGTAGCCCACTTTGCTGCCTGCCTGGTTGCCTGGCCGGCTGGCGGGGCAGAAGCATTTTAGAAAGAGTTAATTTTATCATGTTCTCCACTTTATAAGTCTCTAAAGGTAAACAAAAGCTGCAAAGATGGTCCCTGGGATTCCATGTTCCCTCGCAGCTCCCCCTGAAACCCACGATGTCCCCTGTGGACTGTCCCAGGAAGACCAGGGTGGGTGGGAGGCCCCAGTCCCCTAGACAGCAACCCCCTGCCCAGCTCCAAGACCACCTACTTCAGAGGCGTGCAGGCGCATGGTCATGACATGGCAGTGGGGGTTTCTGAGCCACCCCAAGATGGGGAACTTCACAGGGGGCAGCCCAAGGTGAGGACCGTCTCCTCTGAGCTGTGGCATGAGTGTCCTTCCCTTGGCCAGGGGTCTTCATGCCCATCGGCATCGTGCTCCAGCCGTGGATGGGCTCGGCGGCCATGGCGGCCTCCTCCGTGTCTGTGGTTCTCTCATCGCTGCACCTCAAGTGGTGAGTCCCTCGAGGCAGGAGCGTGCACCACGGGTGGTGCCCGCTAGGCCTTCTCCCCTCACCCAGCCACCCTGTGGGCTAGCGATGGGCGGGTGCCAGGCGCAAGTGCCCAGTGCACCGCGGCGGGGGCGTGTCATGACCTGACCTGGTCACCTCCCAGCCATCTGCACTGTTCGTGTAAATGCCCCGTACATGTGGGGTCCTTGTGTATTATCAGTTGTCCTTTTTTGTGAAGATGTTTATTCGTGCTTTCATTTAACAAAAGTTAATGGCAGCCTACACTGTGCCGGGCATTTGGATGGGAAGTTTCTCAATCAGGCGAACTTTACCTGAACCCTAGGAGCTCGATACCCTCTCCTTTAAAATCCTAAAATCCATGGGGTTTCCATACCATATGTTATTGAAAGACTTTGGTGAGAGCTCTTCTCCATCCTTCAAAACAAACCTGCACCCACAATGGCTCAAATGCTCCTGGATTCTCACTTGGCAGCTATAGGAAGCCCGACCTGGACAGGTATGAGGCGCAGGCCCAGGGCCGCATGAAGCCCCTGACGGCATCACAGGTGAGCGTGCACATCGGCATGGATGACCGGCGACGGGACTCCCCGAGGGCCACGCCCTGGGACCAGGTCAGCTTCATCAGTCAGGTGTCTCTGTCCTCCTTGAAGTCTGACAAGCTGTCTCGACACAGTGCTGCGGCTGATGACGGTGGGGACAAGTGGTCTCTGCTCCTGAATGACAGAGATGAGGAGCAGTGCATCTGAAAGCTCCAGGCGGGTGCAGAGCCAGGGGTCCATCTCCTCAGTGAGTAGCCGGCCCAGCTTTCCCCGTGGCCGAGGCTGAGGCCAAACAAGTGCAGCACCAGCAGCAAGTTGGGCGAAGCTCCCCTCCGGCCATGGGGACTTCCACTCCCTGGACATTCCTGGTCATCCCTCCTAGCATGTGCCACATCCAGATGTGGCTCCTGGATAGGCCCTGCCCCCCACCCCCCGTGCCTGGATCCCGCCAGCACAGGGGCCAGGCTTCCCGCCCTGACCATGCTGTTGGCCTGGGCTTGTTGGGAACCTTGCTGGACTCTAGCAGAGGAGAGGACAGCCAGCCCTCCTCGCAGACCTCTGCTTTGGTGTTTGGAATGACTGACTACCTGTAAAATGAAGAAAATCTCATCAGGACCAAAATCTTAGCTGGGCCTTTCCTTAGAACTCAGGAGAAGCCTTGTATTGGGTTCTTTTTGACAACACCCACATGCGTTGCATATCTGAGACCACAGTTTACCTCAAATACACCCCATTGACGTCTGCCGGCACTGTCCTTTCCTTCTCTGTTTTTAACACTGGCGCCAGCCCACCCCAGCCCGATCTCTGACAGCGGGACCCTAGTGATCCCTGCTGTTGCCCTCAGGCCTGCATCTGCTCCCTCACACACCTGCCAGAGAGCTGGCCTTGCTTCTCTTCAGGCCGAGGAGAGTTCTCTGCTGCCTGTGTGCCCCCTGGCCATGGAGTCCTGGCTTCTCGCTCCTCGGAATGGCATGCTCTTGTGGACTGTTTCTTCCCCGCTGGAGTGAGGGTCTCAGAGCCTGAGACCTAGGAAATCCTGCCTCCTCTGGGGTCCAGGTCCTTGGGATGCGTGGAGGCCTGTGGTGCTTGAAACCGCATCCCGTGGGGAGGTGTGTGCGCTTGCCAGAACCGCCTTGCACACCTCCGGGAGCTTCAATGACATGGTCTGCTATGGGACTGTCAGCTCATGGAGTTTAGTAGAGTTCATGTCCGTGGTGCCCCTGGTGGTGTGCAACTGCAAGGAAACCCGTACCCGAAGAAGAGGAAATCACACTTACTCTCCAGGAGCTTCTACTTCGGCACACGGGACTGGCGCCTTAGGAAAGGAGTCACCACTGCTTCCCCAAGGGAGAGCCTGTTTCACACTTCCAGTGGCTCTTTGTGATTGTAGGACATCAGACGGGCAGGAATGGGGCCAGTTTTAGACACTCAAGCCGGCGGTGATTGACGGAACCACATGGTAGTACACGAGTAGAAAGAAAATAAATTTTAAGGTAGAGAGAGCCCTTATCACACACAAAATAGTTTTATTTATTGAGTACCAGTTACGTTTCAGGGACAGTGTAAGCACTTTTTCTAGGCTACTTGTAATCTTCCCAGCAAACTAGCCAAGTAGATACTGCTGTCCACGTTGGACGCGCAGGGCGGTAGGCTCAGAAAGGCTGGGTATCCGGCCCAGGATCGCACAGCCCGTGCACATGCCAGAACAGGGAAATCTTTTCTCCGTGGTGGCTGCCACCAGAATATCAGTTGGCAGGAATAAACAGGAAAAAGCCACCTGCCCCTAGAAGAACAAGTCTGCTGGGTGGCCGATTCATTGTTAGCAACTTAGAATGAAACTTGATCTCGGGATCAGCTCCCCGTTCCCTCGGATGGTTTGTTTCCATTTTTGCCTCTAATCTCGTGTTGCTGGGTCTTACCCACTACAATCCTGCGCTGGTTCCACTGTGTTCCTGTCATTTTCAGTCTTCTTTTCCCTCGGGCCTCTCCCTACTCTGTCCTTCCTTTACTCCTGGCTGTGCTCAGGAGGGTTTCTTGTTTTCTAACTAGGTTAATCATTGTCTAAAGGATCTAATTGTATTGATTTCACAAAGGCTTTTAGGACCATAAACCTCATGTGTATATGGCCATGAAAATATTTATATAATTGTACAGGATATAACCTTTAGATGTTCAAAGGGTAAGAATTTTTTGTGTGTCAGATAAGAAGAGTTCCTGTTTCAAAAACTTTCCATGCTGTATTAGAATAAAGTTTATTTTTATTCATCTGAAGGCTGCCTCTGGCTGGCTCTGTGCGTGCGAGAAGCATAATTGAGGCCAGTGCAAGGCCGCTTCTGCAAGGGGGGCAGGGGCGGAGAAGGGTCGGGTTTCACTGTGGAGGTCGCGCCGGTGGCCAGACCCTCTGATCTGCACCCCCCCCACCAGCACCCTGCAAGCCCCTGTCCCACATGCGGGGCCTGCCTCAGTGGTGTGTGGGGAGAACTCTCTGGAGGACAGCCCCTGTCCAGGTACCTGTCCCACTGGGCCAGACACCTGCCCCATTCGATGCACTTCTCTGCTTGACAGAAATTGTCAACAAAAGGCTATCTTAGACATACACATTTTAATCAGGAGGGCTATATTTTGGGTCCCTTAGCCCCAGAGGAGTGGGGCAGGGGGAGTAGTAGAAATGTCTGGACCAAAGGACTCTGCTGGGAAGGCTCTGTGGGCATCTTGGGGTGGCAAGGGGGCCCTGAGTGAGCTCCAGCTAAAGGTGAGGTGACAGGGTAATTTATCATCCAAACCAGGACGCTTTTAAGAGTGAAAGGGGTGCTATTAATAATTATGCCAGGCCAACTGGCCTAAACCGAGACTCTCCAGGCAAACTGGGACATGTGATCACCTTCCTAAAAAGGGAAATAGACGCTGTGACGTCACAGACACAAACTGTAGGACTTCAGGATCCTGCCCTAATTGTAGGTTCCGTAGATGTGAGGGTAACCTATCCTTTATCCGATTTGGGATTTTTCCCCCACTCTGGCCATGCTGAGGCCAGCACTTCCCTGCAGAATCATGGAGATGATATCTTTGTGGCTCACTCTGACCACATGGAGAACCAGTCAGGAGTTTGTCCCACTTGCTTGCCCTGCGGTCCCTCTAGCACACCACATAGCGCTTCATGCCAGGCATGCTGGACTGTTTTTCTGGTTTCCCACGTATGGGAATTTCATGCTGTATGCATGTTCCCTTGTGGGAAGAGAGGGTTGATACCACGTTAGCAAGGGATTCCATTTCTTTAAAAAATAGATCCTTCTAAAACATGAGCAAATCTCCCTGATAACCATTCCAGATGCACCGGAAGAAATCACAGTGTCTGTCCATTCCTGGTAAGTTTTCAGTCTTTAAGATCTTAGTAAAGCCTTGTGATGGGGGTCACCTTTTAAGTAAATGGATAATCTAGTTTTTTGTAAAGACGGCACCTTCCAATTGATGCGGCAAAAAATAGTCAAATTGTTCTGCTAGTTCGCTAAGAAGCCAAGATTAATAAAGTGGCCTTTATTTTAAGAAAATCCAGCATAAACCAAAATCAGCTCATCAAATAGGCTAATTAGAAAAAGATTATTTGAATTAGAGAAGGATTTTTTTTTGGCTTTAAAAAAATTCACATCAACAGGCGCCTGAGTGGCCCAGTCATTTAAGCATCCGACTCTTGATTGCGGCTCAGGTCGTGATCTCAGGGTCGTGAGATCGAGCCCTGTGTCGGGCTCCACACAGCGCACAGAGCCTGCTTAAGATTCTCTCTCTCTTTCCCTCTGTCCCTTCCCTCCGACCCCCTCCCCCTGCTTGTGGCAGTCTTCTCTCTTAAAAAAATGCATGTCAATATTTCAGCAGGTAAATTCCCTAATGCATATAAATACTTCTTGAGTTAGAAAAGTTCTACTCTGCATACAACTTTTTCTTAAATTGTATCTTTTGTTTAAAGAAAACAGGTAAGGAATGCATAATACAAAGAAATGCTTTCAGCAAACAATCATGCTGACTCAGTTTCCCTTTGCAGATGACCCTGTATGTGGGAGCGCTGATCTGGCTGGGGGTGCACTGTGGAGCTGGTGGGAATGAAACCACTCTGCTTCCTGAGTTTTCACACACAACATGGGCAGGGACATAAACACCACTGTGTGGGTTTATTCCAGAGGGAGATGTCTACTTGTCTGCCGTTTTCCTTTGTGTGAAGACAATGACAATGGTTGAAATTACAGGATAGAATATGAGAATGTTAAATAATGCCACGAAATCCCTGAGTCTCCTTTATTCTATTCAAAAAGATGAGTAAACAGATGTGAAATCATCCATGGGCTAAGATGAAAACAAGAATTGAAGGAAATTTAACATTTTTTTCCTCTGAAAAGGAAATGGCCATTATTTCTTCTTACTTAATGTAAACCTAATAACTGCTTATAGCAAAAATTTGAACATAGGGAAATATATAAGATGGGGGGAAAGCGCCCAAAAGGAAACCCCATGAACATGATTTTGTGGAGGGTGTCCTCTGTGGGTGGATCACACTGAGACCCCGAGGGAGCGAAGTCTGTCTGCCCCCCAGGGGCCCAGCTCCCTGATCTCCCGGTGCTGTAGTGAGCCGGGGATGTAGCTGTTGTGAACCTACAGATACCCAGGTCCCAGTGAGGTCAGGAGGTGACAGACAATAATCAAAGACAGGGAGACGAGGCCAGTGGCTCTGTGCTGGTGCCCCAATGGGTTGTCTCTCCTACTCACCCTGTCCTCACAATGATCTTAAGAATGATAGGCATCAGTCTCATTTCCACAGATGGGGGCACCACGCTCAGGAGAGTCCAGCTGACTGTGCAGGAGACAAGTCTGGGAAAGGTGTTCAAGCCCGTTTGGCTCTGGTCCTGCCAGGCCCACCTCCCTCCCAGCAAAGGTGACACCCGGTGCTCTCAGCAGGAGAAGCCGGGCCTCGCTGGCCCCTCTGGCCCCCCATGGCATGCTGGGGGCAAGAGAAGTGTCCTTTTGCAGGACAGTGTGTTCTATCTCGAGAGCCACCAGGTGTCTCTCTGACCAAAACAACCTCCTAGTCTGCAGCAGGATCCCAAATCTCTTGATCATTGTTTTTTTTCTGGACACATCTGGAAATTCAAATAAAGCTCATCATAACAAAAATGGGAGATGGGGCAGAACGTGAGGCCGGAGTCCAGCTCTGGCACGGGGGTGCCTCTAAGCTATGTGTTTATGCGGGCACAGTTAGCCCGCATTTAGCCATGCAGAGTACGTCGTTGGGATGACTCGCCAGTGAACTTCTCTATCATCACATGTGTTCTCTCTGTGCTTCATGC